TACTTAGAAGTAAGTTCTGCAGTATTCAGTGAGGCTTTTTCCCTAATAAGTGTGATTATGATTGCAGCCTTAGTCTACAAAAAATGTAGGTGGCATTGTTGGTCCACAGGAAGTGGACGTAGAATCCAAAAACCACATGGCTTTATTAGGACTAGCCAAAATGTCTCAAAATCACAAGCAAGCTTTTGATTTGACCAGAACTCTTCCATCAGGGGAGAAGAAACTAGGTGTGATGGTGTTAGCTCAAAGCCGACAGTTTATACAACAATCTACAGAATGCAGAAAGAGTTATGCGGACACAATTAGATTAGCCTCACCAGCTGTAAGACAGATTGCAAGATGCACCCAGGGCTACATGGACAAAGAAACAACAATGACCTTACTTTCCAGCTATGGTCAGTCAGTTGCCCCTGGAAGCTCACAACCAGCCCCTTGTAAGGGATGGGGCTGGTGATTATTGGGATCTCACCTGACAATGATGGTGGAGTTTAAGCCTTTTGATCCCGGCTATGGTCCTGACGAAAATCTCTCATCTGAAGCAGCTCTTTGCATTGGGAGGAAATCCATCACCATTGTCAGTGGCAAATGGCAACTTTTGATGAGCCGTTTTTGCCAGGACTAGGGGCGTGGGGCAGGGGGAGATTTTCGATTTTGTTAAAAACAACAGCACCATTCTCATCTGCTGCAGTTCTAATAACTATCAGTTCCTCGCGGCACCTGCTGCTTTACATTTAAAAAACACCCATGCTGAATTCAAAGACAGTATCCTGCTTGGTTTTGCCATTCCTCAGCGTCCAGAACACACAATGGTGGGGATTTTGCTCCATATCACTAATGTTGATGGTAGTGGTGGGGAAACACACTATGTAATGAGATTGGCCTAGATATTATGGAGGGGAAGGTCAAAGCCAAAAGACAACCTGAACTCATCTGTATTTGTTAAATGGAAATCAGCTAACAGAGTACATTAAAAAAAAAAAAATCAGCCAGGCTCGCCCTACCCACCCTTTAAGCACTTTATCAAACATGCCGAACTTCCTTTTTCAACCATAGGAATAGCCTTGCTGAAGGCCCATCTTGGCTAGCCTCCTGCTTCCCATGTGGGCTAACCAGATGCGTTCAGGAAGCCCACAAGCCACAGGCACAAAGGCGGTGGCCTGTCCCGCTGTTTCCTTCAAAAACTGGTATATAAGTGGCATACCTCTTCTGCTCACACGTAACGATGAGCCACACTTTCTGGCTTATTGTGGTTGTCCAGAATGAGCAGCACGCTTGTGCACGCTGTCCAATTTGCTCCTTCCATAAGCAAACCAAGAAACACTGGCTTTCCATTATGCCTGAACCGGGTGGTTTGTTCCGCCATAACAAGACTTGAAGCCGTGGTTTTCCTGGTTGTAACCCATAAAGCCCTAAGTAGGTTGGGACCAGGTTACTTGGAACATTGCCTCCTCCCGTGTAGGTCTTAGGCTCCTCTGCAAAATCCCTGCTCCTGAGGCCAGCCAAGGAGAGGGTGGTTTCAGTAGTGGTACCATGGCTACGGAATGATCTCCCAGGGGAAAGGTTACCTGGTACTTTCTCCAGTGTCTTTTCAGCACCAGATGAAGACCTTTTCGATCACTCAGGCCTTTTAATTTGTTCTTCTTTTCTTCTCCTTTCTTTGAAATCTAGCCTGTTTTTTATTACAAGAGAAACCGCATTAAAAAACCAACCAACCCCTGGCCATCTTTTATTGAGCAGGATTCAGCTAATGAGTCTTATTAGCAGAAGCTTGTGTTAAGGACTTCTGCTTGCCTAGCAGGGCTTCCCCCACTTCTCTTCCCCCTGCAAGCCCCCAAAATTGGCTTGGGCAGGGGTTTGGGGGAACCCCTAAATAGCGTGCAGGGGAAAAACAAGGGAAACTTTTGTCTGACAAGTGCTCTTTCACTCTTATCACTCACATAGAGCATTGTAGTGTTCATAGGCTGCCAGGGAATATTTGTTTGGTGGGTGGCTATATAAATTCAAATATTACTGCTACTACTAGTAGTATTAACCTTCCCGTTAGTATTCTCTATTAGTATTAGTAGGGAAGGTATTGCAACTCCTTAATAACTTTTGGTCACCCATTGCTACACCTTTCCCAGCTCTGTGATACCCTTTTCGATATGTTTGATATCTTACGCATCTATTAAAATTTGAACCTTGCCTCGTTTTTCGAAATCCATTTTGCATTTTGAAGCAGGCAACGAGTTTTCCCTCCCCTCTAATGCATGACTCCCAGCAGTGAGAAATATTTGAAGTATCTTGAAAAAAAAATTAATAAAGCAATTTAGCCAAAAGATAATAGCTGACATTTATGGAAGAGAATTGCTTGGCTGCTTTGGGAATAATTGTGTCCATAAGAAATTATCTCTTTTGCATTAAATTGAATAAATGCAATTAATGAGAAGTTAATATAGTCCTCCCATTTCAGAGTAATGATGGCATTGGTTTTGTTTTTTTAAAAAATATATCTTGACACAGTTATCCCTTTATGTAGAGGGAGGGGCTTTTATTGTGGTTTCCACAATGGTTCTTTAAAGAAGATGAGCAATATTTCCCCCCCAAATTTTAATAAAGAAGATATTAAGAACTGCATTTCCCCCCCTCCCCTTCTTTCTCAGACCGGCAGCTTAATCACATTTGCAGTGCTGTAACTGTTCTAAATCAAATGTTTTCAAGATTCTTGCAGTGAGCATTCCTTAGACAAGAAAATATCTGAGCCTCTGTGCTTTTCAGTCTTCCTCACTGCCTGATTTCAAGGAAGAGGTCAGAAGTAGTCTATGGTCCTTTAAAAGAGAGGAAATGCTTCTTCTGACATTAAATTTAATCTCCACCCCCCCAAAAAAAAAAACCAGCTTCAGGACTGAAATTTGACATTGAGATTTGCTAAGCAAGCCAGTGTGGTGTAGTGGTTCTGTTATGGGCTGGGAACTGGGAAGCCAAGGTTCAAATCCTACCTTAACCATGAAGCTCACTGGGTGGCCATAGGCCAGTCACACCCTTTTAGCCTAACCTACCTCTCAGGGTTATTTTGAGGGTAAAATGGGGAGAGGGAGAACCATGTGTGCTACTTTCCTAGAGGGAAGGTGGGATATAAGCAGGATGGATGGATGGATGGATGGATGGATGGATGGATGGATAGATAGATAGATAGATAGATAGATAAATAAATGTGTTTGTGCTGGTGAATCGTTCAAGCCCTCTGCAGTCTTCCAGACACACAGGATTAGACATGCATTAGCAGAAGACATCCATTGACCGACCCCCTCTGCTAGTCTTTCATCACCAGTCCCCATCATCCTCTGCAAAGTGAGAGCTGAACATCCACAGCAAGGAATCTTCACAAGTAGAGAACTGCAGGAGTTGAACCCCCTTGGTGGGTGTGGCAAGAGGGAGAGTAGGACCGAAGGCCTCATTCCTGCTCTCCACCTCACTGTGTGAGGGGTGTATCTTCAGAAGAGGGCTTTGGCCTGGGTAGTTATGGAGACTTCAGTAGATCATCCCAGGCTGAGGCCTAGCACGCATGCACCTGTTAAAATGCGGTGGTGTTGGAGCACAAGGGAAAGAGGCTCAACACATCACGCTTTGATGCTTGCAGAATAAGGCTCAGTGGATCTCCCATCTGGAAAATTTCCAGAGAGCTTCTTGTAGGCCATTCTTTACCCACTTTTCTAGTGAATAGGTTGTCAGCTCTGGCCAGCTCTGGTCAGCTCTAGTGAATAGGTGTCAGCTCTGGCCTTCAACAGCAACAGAGAGCTTCTCAAAGGAGAGAAGGGTAAGCTCAGTACAATTAGAGAGTTGTCTGCTCCATACAGCAGCAAGAGGTTTTCCCAAAAGCCAACTTTGGGCACATTGATAGGTGTGGTTTCTAAGCTGGACTCAGATTTTAGTAAGGTCTTCTTGGACACCAAGTCTATCCATGTGACCAGCTGATAGACCTGGTGTCTGCTCTGGATATCTTCCAGGGGCAACAGAAGAAGGTCTGCCAGTTGGTAGACCAAATGTTCTTTGAAGAATAAACCTTCAGAAGGGTTTATTGGAGATTGCACACTGTAGCTAACCAATAGACCTTCAATGTGTTTCTTCTCCAGCGTGCAGAATGTGAATCATTGTCATCTCCAGGTAGGACTGGGAGAGACCCCAGTCTGAAACCCAGGAGAGCCACTGCAAATCAGTGTACAGTAGATGATAACCAACTAGGTGGACTCCGTATGAGACAGCTTCTGATGTTGGTAGCCACCTCTAGGTTTTATGTTACATCACCCCCACTAACTCACTCTGCCTTTGCATTCTTACTGCCTTCGCAATGTTAGACTTCTCTACTCTGACCTTCATATACAATTGGGGGACGGGGGGACGGGTGGAAGAAGGAAGCCAGAATCTGGGGCAGACTGGAGGGAGCAGGAGAGAGTGTGATGGCTGGGTGCAGTTTGCTTTTCTTAACTCTGGGTTGAGACACACCCTGTGGAAAAGAGGTGGAGAAGCACTCTCCATTCTGTTAGCCAGACAGCTTGCTTCTTGGGGAATTCCATAGGGAGGTAAGGGGATTCTTTGGCAGGGAAGGTTAGTGGATGGAGCAATGATTACTATCTGACATTTCCTTTTGGGGAGTGGAATTCTTCATCTGCATTCCAGCTACTCACCCCACTAATTCATTGTATTTGAAATCCCAGGGGTGTGGCATTGGAGTTGTATTTAAAGCATAGAAATGAAGAGCAGAAAAATGTTTAAGCACCCCCCCTTCCCGAGTCATTCTAAGTTGCCTCCCCAAAGTGCTTTTTCTTTTTCTCAATGATAACAGATTTAATTACCTTTTCTTAAAAAAAACACCCTGCACTTTTGAGTAGGGTCAAGTGTTCTTTGTTTCCTTCCTTTTTCTGTTTTAACTATGCTAGATGCACTCGTGTCCCAAGGAAAGTTGATAAGGGTATGCAGAACAGAATAAAAACAATTACACCTTTTTTCCTTTCCCTTCCCAGGTGTCCAGAGTACGCCGAGTATATTATCTTCTTAGAATGAAGTCTGATGCTTTTTCGGCCCGTTTAATGAAGGAATGAAACATTCTCTGCCTGAAAGGGGAAACAGCCATTCAGAAAGAATTTAGTTCCATAGTGCAAATGGAAGAGCCAAAAAAATAAATAACTTCACGGACGATTTCTCAGGGATTACAGATCTTGGTGTGTGGTTTCTTAAAAAAAAATAAAATTAAAAAATTAAATGGTTTTTGTTGAGAGAAAATGGGAGATCAGCAAATGTACAAAACGAGCCATGTTGTCAACAACAGTGAAAGCTTGTATTACCAGCAGCAGCAGCAACAACAACAACACCTAAATTCCCTTGCACCGTTAAACCACAGCTATGGAACATCAGCCATGGATGCAACTCAGGAATCTCCGCTCTCCCCATCGTTCCCTCAAGACACTAGGGAAAACATAGCTTTGAATGCTGGGTCCAAAACCCTTGGGTTGATGGATTCTCCTAGGCAATCCAGTTGGGCCCATTTGGGTTCCGGGAACCACGCCCCAGTGAGGAACAACCAAAACGTCATGTGGGGCTCAGCGGGGCAAGGCGAAGTAACTGACGGATACGAGCACCTGTGTTCCCAAGCCAATGAGGTCAGGCCGCAGAAAATGACCAGTGGTGTTTTGCATAAGCTGGACTCCTTCGCCCAAGTGTTTGCAAACCAGAACTTAAGGATCCAAGTCAACAACGTATCTCAGGTCATCCAGCCTTCGGCGATGGGCGGCACTGGCGACAGCGCCCTTCGGCAGCTGCTGTCTCAGAAGCCTGCGGTGGAGCAGCAGCCCGCCGTGCAGAGATACCAACAGGTGCCGCAGCAAGTCCACCAGGGTTTTGTCGGCGCGCCGCAGAAGCAGCACATGCACATGATGGCGCACCAACAACCCCTCTATTACGACGAACAGCAGCATTTAGCCCATCTGCAGATGCACCCTGCCATGCATCAAGGGCAGGCCCACTTCCAGCAAATGCGCTCTCAACACCTGCAGCAGCAGCAGCAGCTACAGCAAGATCAATACTATCTGCAGCAGCAGCAGCAGCAGCAACAATCCCACCAAGGACAACATAGGCTTTTAATACACGAGTTGCAACAGCAGCAGCAGCAGCAGCAGCAGCAGCAGAGGCAATGCCCAGTGCAAACAGCTCAGTATTATTCAATACAGCCTATGATGCAACAGTTGCAGCAGCAGCAGCAGCAGATGCAAATGCAACTTCCTGCCTTTCACAGAGATCCTGACCAGAAGCCTCTGCACGAGACTCATCAGTACTCTCAGGATCGGGGTCATTCTGTGCAGCTCATTCAGCTGGGAGCAGTGCCTCAGTACTTCTATCAAGATCAGCAGCAGTCCTTCAGGCATTTGTATTCACAAAGCTTATTGCAGCAGCAGCAACAGCAGCCGCCACCAGGAGATGCCAGTCAGCCAAACCATTACCAGAGCAACAACAAGGCTCAGGCACTGATGGATTCGCACCTTGGATTCCCCTTGGCAGAAGGGACGGAGGGCCCAGTTCAGCAGGACATGAATTCTGCCGCTGGTGGCATTCCTCAGCAACCTCTGATACCCCCAGAAGGTATCCACGTGGATAGCAAAGGGCCACGGCCATTGTCCCCTGGTCCAATGTGGCCTCAGGTATGTAATACTTTCTTTCCTGTATCTGAGTTTGGGAAGAAGCAGAAACCAAATTCGCCTCTGCCGTGTGAAGTGGAATTCCATCAGAAGTTTTAGGCTCCCATTGGCACAGTATTTTGGTGAATCCACAACTTATTAGCCTGGGCACTGAGGTCCGGCTGCGAGGGGCTTCTGGCGGTTTCCTTACTGCAAGAAGTGAAGCCACAGGGAACCAGGCAGAGGGCCTTCTCGGTAGTGGCGCCCGCCCTGTGGAACATCCCATCAGATGTCAAGGAAATAGACAACTACAGTCGTACCTTGGAAGTCGAACGGAATCCGTTCCAGAAGTCCATTCGACTTCCAAAACGTTCGAAAACCAAATTGCAGCTTCTGATTGGCTGCAGGAAGCTCCTGTATTTGACCTGAAGGCAGCCCTGTTTAGGAAGGTTTTTAATGCTTGATGTTTTATTGGGGTTTTTCTTTTTTTGTTGGGAGCTGCCCAGAATAACTGGGGCAATCCAGTCAGATGGGCAGCAAATAATAAAAATTAAATTATTATTATTATTATTAATTTTAATTAATTACCGTATTTTTCCGTGAATAAGATGCCCCCATGTATAAGATGACCCCTTATTTTAAACTTTAAAAAATTAGGGGAAAGTGTAGTCTTATACACGGAAAAATACGGTAATTTGTTGGCCTCCTAATACAGGGCAGTCTTGAAGGCGGCATAGTTTAAAAACATAAAAGTTTGTGCATACAGCTCCTTCACACTAGCACCAAATGTGCAGCTGGTCAGGGGCTTCACAAACATACACATCATTGCGGATGGGACATGACTAGGGATGTAAGAAGGCGTCCCCCCCCCCTGTTCTGCCCTATACTTACTGCATGCAGTGCTGTTTCCATTCTGCTGCAGCTTGTCTTGGAATTAAGCATAGCTTACACAGTTCACATCATTAATTAGGATGTCACTAAGTTATTCCAGCCCAAATATTTCAGTGCAAAGGAAACACAATGGAAGCATGGTCATTTATGTGTAATTTGTGGGCTGAAAGCAACGGCAACAGTGAATGCTGATCATATTTGCTAGACTGATTTCCATTGGGCATGGGTCAAATAAGGAAACACAATGGCAACTTCCACTTCCATAGCTGTTGGAACCTTCTAAGACCAGTTAGCGTAACAGCATCGTTCACCTTCACGCATCTGTGAATGGGCAGGGGAGGTTGCGTGAAACTCTTTAAATGATTATTTGAATGAGTCATTACATGTGTGTGAGTCTAGATAGATGATTCTTCAGCATGCTGATATATACCAGTATTTTCGTCTCTTCCTTTAGCAGCAGGTCCATCTGCCTGATGGAAGACTCCCGTCAGTTTCCCCCGAGCAAAGGTATATTTCTTATATAGCTACATATGTATTCTTAACTTTCGTTTTTTCAAAAGTCCTCAAATAGTGGCCTCTGTACAAGTCCACCAGTATGTTTATTGGCCATGTAGTGGAATCTTCTAGAGCTCTTAAGCATCAGGTACTTATTCTACCAATCTTTGACTGAATGGTTTTGGTGCCTGTTGCTTCCTCAGTCTGTGGCCCATGGGACTAATTTAGTGATGGAACCAGCCAGAACTCTCCAGAACTTATTTCTGGCACCTCTCAGGTGGGCGCCATTGCCATTCTAAGAGAACAACGGAGGTGTTCATTGTAAATTCTGGCACCTCTTTTTCTAGGAAAACAGCACTGGATGGAACCTTCTGCATAAAAGCATAAAAGTGACCCTTGAGTTAATGCTTGTCTGCTCTCCACCTTTTCACTAGCCATGTGAATTGGATCAGGGCCAACCTGTTAAAACCTCACAACAGTAATAAACGGCAAGCACTTTCATCATTTGAAGGAGAAATTTCATTAATCCTCACTCAAAAATAGTTTAGTTGTGAGAAGATTGCTTAAAAAAAGAAGAAAAGCACTTGCTCACAGAATTGATGCTGACAGTGGATGTTTTTCTGAGGAAAAAATGGCTCACGATCTCCTTAGATCACAGGTGGGCAGACTTGCAGGATCTGCTTTTTTTTTTTTGTTTACTAGAACTATTCAAAGCTAGGTGCAAAATAATGGTTCTGAAGGGTGGATGCACAGTAAGAATTAAACACAAGCACACCCTCAGCCCAGGTTAATAAATGTACATCTGTTTCCCCACCAGTCTCTCTTTTTCTCAGCAGCCTAACATGGTCAGGACTCAGCAGGGAAGGTTTCTGTTAGACATTTGGGAGTCAGAACCCCATGCCAGCCCACTGAAGATCTGCCAGCAGATACCCATCTACTTTCTGCCTGCCCCTGCTCTAGAGTAGACCTGGTCCTTCCCTTCAGGCAGCAAAATGTCTCGAGCTGGCCCTGTCAGAGAGAGAATCTGTGATCATTATTTTTTAAGAGTACATGTATGTGGCTGGATTAAAATGTATTTGGGAACATTCTCATCAAAACATGTCTCTCCTTCCTTTCTGCAGCAGCATTCATGATAAAGAAACTCATAGTGAGAGATCTGAAACAAAGAGCAAACTCACATGCACTGTATGCTTGAAGGAATTTAAGAGTTTGCCAGCCCTAAATGGCCACATGAGGTCTCATGGAGGGATACGGGCATCTCCTGCCTTCAGACAGGTAACACTGTGGTGTTTTGCTGTATGGCCTTCACCCTTTTTTACTAAAGTTCGCTGCTTGCTTTGCTTTGCAATTTTCATTTTTTTTAAAAAATACAGTGATTCTCAATCTGATCCTGCTATTGTCAAGGAAATGTGTCTTTCTCCAGTTTCGTTTTCTAGTATGTTCATTCTCCATCGATGGAGATCTGTCAATGTCTGATGTCATGTAGGCCTGAGAGCTATTCTGAGGCGCAAGGTTTGGCTAGCCTCCAAGTGAAAGGGGCTCCTCGCTGTGAACACACCTCGACGCCTCCTTATGACACCATTATTATTATTATTATTTATTAAATTTGTATACCACCCTTCATTTGTAGAGCTCACAACATAAAATTACAATGTAAAACCCACAAAATACATAACAAAAATAAGAACAACAACAAACCAATAAGCCCTGCCCCCAAAACAGGGATTTTCTCCACTCACCTCACCTGAGTCTACTTTCTGTTCTGTCCTGAGGCGTTTCTTCTGCCTGGGATGTGCACGTGCCACATTTCATGCTGTGTTTTCCAGAGAAGTAGCAGTGTTGACCCCCTACTGCATACTGAGACTTGACAGATCCGCTACATAGTGGGCTCCAGCCCACAGTGGCCAATGCCTCCATAAGCTGGCTAACCTTGAGAGTACCAGAAGACTCTTTTATTTGTTGTCTGTGCTGCCTTTTAGTGTTCTAGTTGGGAGCAGTCCACGGTTGAGGCTGAATGCCTTTGGTTGTCTGCACAGGACGAAGGGGAGAGCCTGCCGCAGCCCCAGCACCAACACCAGCGGGAGCAGCTGCCCTCCGAGGCGGAGAGCTTCGTCCCCATCGTCATGCCTGTGTCGGTGCCCGTTAAGCTGCCGTCACCCGATCCCAGCAAGCAGGCCGCTGACAGCAGCGCCGTGCTTAAAGATAAGCCTGTCTCAGATGATGAGATGCCCGTTCTTGTGAGGATGACTTCCTCTCCGCCATGCTCCCCTAACGTGGCCAGCCCCTGCTTGTCCTCTGTGAGTGTTCTCTTCCTACTAACTGTGCTAGGGGTGCCTTGTGAATCCCTCTGCATTTTTTTTTAAAGTGCTTCCTGTTAAACATCATCCCTGTTTGGACATATGCAATACTGGGTACTAGGTAAAGGTAAAGGGACCCCCCACCATTAGGTCCAGTCGTGGCCGACTCTGAGGCTGCGGTGCTCATCTTGCTTTATTGGCCGAGGAAGCCGGCGTACAGCTTCCCGGTCATATGGCCAGCAGGACTAAGCCGCTTCTGGCGAACCAGAGCAGTACACGGAAACACCGTTTACCTTCCCGCTGGAGCGGTACCTATTGATCTACTTGCACTTTGACGTGCTTTCGAACTGCTAGGTTGGCAGGAGCAGGGACCGAGCAACGGGAGCTCACCTCGTTGCGGGGCTTCGAACCGCTGACCTTCTGATCGGCAAGTCCTAGGCTCTGTGGTTTAACCCACAATGCCATCCGCGTCCCAATACTGGGTACTAGGACTGGCTGATTCCTGGATTTCAACATCGTGATATATCACCAGCTAAATGTCACGATATACCGATATATTGCCATGTCTGAAGTATGGAGTTATGTAGAGGTATTGGCTGGCTTCACAATTTTTTCCACATTGTGATTTATGATGATGTTCATCATCATAATCAACAATAATAATATAATTATTTGTACCCTGCCCATCCAACTGGGTTGCCCTAGCCACTCTGGGCGGCTTTCAGCATATATTAAAATATAGAAAAATATTTCAGGCACCCCCAAACTCAGCCCTCCAGATGTTTTGGGACTACAACTCCCATCATCCCTAGCTAAGGACTAGTGGTCAGGAATGATGGGAGTTGTAGTCCCAAAACATCTGGAAGGCCAAGTTTGCCTATGCCTGATATAATTACTCATCCCCTAGACACACACACACACACACACACATATCATGATTCGCAATATATTGCCAGGTCAAAAATTATGAAACCAATATCACAATATCAATATGGACTTCAGTTTTGGATGATATATTGATAAATCGCCCAGCCCTAACGGGTACCCTGGTCTCTTCCAGTTCAGGCAGAAGCAGCCTTTTCTTTCTGGATTGTCCCAATATTCCTTCCCCCTTCCAAAAAAAGGCAGAGGGATTTATTGCCTATCAGTGTTATTTGTGCTTGTTTGTTTTTAATGTTGCTCGAAACCGTTTTCTTCTTTAATAATGTGGGAGCAGGGCTGAGTGGGATTTTGCCTAATATTGTCTCCTGCAGATAAATAGCCTTTATCGCCTAATTATTATTGTAAGAATAATATACTCCGGCAGGTATTGTGAAGGACTTAATTAGTCTCCTCCTTCCTTTCCTCCCTATACATACAAACACGCCCCCCCCAAGCAGATTATAGATATCTTTGTGTGAATTCTCAAGGACACAAATCACCTTCGGGGAGTCGACTCCCCAGTGCGAATATGGGTGGGGGGAGCAGGGATGAGTGCGCTAAGCTCAGTCCCCCGCAGTTTCCATGCCTGTCAACCTCTGTGAGTTCGTGGCATTGTCTGAATCGCAGAGGGAGCCCCCCTGAGTCCTGGAAGCTCCCTGCTTCAGATATTTGGCCTCCAACTCGTGCAGGGGGGTAGCAGTTGAGGGGTAGGGAGCTTAGTGTTCTCGTCCCCATTTTGCCCTGTGTAATGCTTCTTGTGGGAGGGATTCATTTATTTCCACATTTTTATCCCTCCTTTCCTCCAAAAGAGCTCAAAGTGACATACATGGTTCTCCCGCCCTATATATTTTACCCTCAGAACAATCCTGTGAAGCTTTCTGCCTGCAGAAACCAGCAAGAAAACCACTGGCAATAGATTGTCTGGCTGCCTGGATATGGTTGGCAGTGTGGCCAGTGTGGTGTAGTGGTTAAGAGCAGTTGATTCGTAATCTGGTGAACCGGGTTCGCTTCCCCGCTCCTCCACAGGCAGCTGCTGGGTGACCTTGGGCCAGTCACCCTGCTTTGAAGTCTCTCAGCCCCACTCACCTCACAGAGTGTTTGTTGTGGGGGAGGAAGGGAAAGGAGAATGTTAGCCGCTTTGAGACTCCTTTGGGTAGTGATAAAGCGGGATATCAAATCCATCCTCTTCCTCCTCTTCATAGCTGGGGGTTTCTCAGCTGCTGATGCTTCTCTCCACATGTGGAGGTCAGCAGAGATGCACCAGGACACCATCCTAACTCCATTGGTTTTAGGGGCAGGCAGAGGTTAGGATTCCACTCTTACTCCCCCCCCCCCCTGAAAATGGGAAGTTTTAACAACAACAACAAAAACACCCACATATTTATCTTCAGGAAAGCAAACTTATAGCATAAGCAGTGTACCACTTTGGTGCTTGCTGAAAGCTTTTTCATATCAACAAGCCAGCCAAATGCAGTTTAGTTTCCTGTATTTATTTATTTTAAAATTGATTCTTTTTATCCATGTTTTAAAGATGATTATTGTGTGTATATTTGTCTTTCAGTTTTTATGGATTTTAGATATGCTTTGGTCAATTGTTTTATTTCTACGCTGCTTAGAGAGCTCTTTGATTTAGTAGTTCATGATTTCTCTCTCTCTAAATAATGAAATATGTGCAAATAAATGAGGATGGTATCAGTTAAAACAACTGGAGTCTATACGTAAAATAAGCAGCAAACGAGGTCTGCAGCACAGGTCATAAAATCAGTGTCATACATGCCAATAAAGCGAGTTAAAGACTAATGATGAGCTGAAGCATGGTTTCATGAACACATTTGATAGTGGAAATAAATATCAAAGATAAGTTGGTGACTGAAATTGCAAGACTTTGTGTATACATACATAGCTCTATATTTTGGGGCTGTTCTGCGGATCTGTCAAGATCCCTGTCAGGCTGCCAATGTACATAGGGAGGTCTCTGGTTTAGCTTGGCCCATTTTAACTTAAGTTTGCTAATCATTTCACTACTGGGAAAATCCCACACTCTGCCAGACCATTGAAGAACTGAGGGAAGGTGGGTGGAAGCCCACTTCTTAGCTATCAACCAAAGAAAAAAAATGGTGGCAGTTGTTTTAGGGTGTCACCTCATTGATGTCAAAATATAGGCTGGTTCATAGAGGCTCATGAGTTGGTTCAGGTTTTTGTGTCCGCCTGAGACTCCCATGCAATTTGCCCATGTTACGTCTTAAGTTGTCTGAATGCTGAAAACCTTCCATTCAGGACCTCAACAGAAAACAGCACCAAAGCACGGCCAACTCTGAAGAAAGCTTCAAACCGTTTCAAGACAAGAAAAAATACCGCCACAGACCGGAGCCTCTGTTCATACCGCCACCTTCTTACAACCTCGCTGCATCCCACCTGGGCGCGACGCTGTACCAAAGCCAGCTTCGCTCTCCCCGCATCCTGGGAGACCACCTGCTGGACAGCATTCACGACCCCCCTCCTTACACCCCACCTCCGATGCTCAGCCCGGTACGTCATGGATCTGGCCTCTTCAGCAGCGTTATCACGTCCGCTCATGGTGCGTCTCACCCCCAGCTGCCGCTCACACCTTTGACACCCACTCCCCGGATGCTTCTCTGTCGATCTAGTAAGTATGATGGTGCGCTGTAAACCAGGGGGTCCCAAACTGTGGTCCATGGACCACCTGTGGTATGTGAGCTTCTTACAGGTGGTTCATGACATGTCCATATGGAATACACATATTGATTTTTAGTTGTGTTTTGTCGTACGTTTTATTTCTTGCATTTCATTTTACTGTATCGTGATGCAGATTCTGTGGAATGCAATTAAATGCAACCCAAGCCATTAAAGGACAATTAAAAATCATACGGTATCTAGCCCCAGTGCATTACAGTTGCCACAACAGGCAGAAATTAAGTGTTTTGCAAAGGCCATTTTTTCAAGTGGTCCAGCCATTTTAAAGTGGTCCACGGGCGAGAAAGTTTAGGAACCACTGCTGTAAACTTATCCAGTTTCCATGCCTCACTTCTGTATAGCACACTGCTGGTTTTTACATCAAGCGGCATTTTATTTTGCGGTCACTTGGATAGCAGTTTCTCTCTTGCCCACATGTGTCCGAAGAGGAGGGATTGTAGAATATCCCCAGGAACATGCCACCCTGAAAGACTCCTCCATTTGCCCCTGGAATCCATCCAATCCATTTTAGGATTGGGCTACATGATCATTTGCCCCACATAATACAGTGGTACCTCGGGTTACATATGCTTCAGGTTACAGACTCCGCTAACCCAGAAATAGTACCTCGGGTTAAGAACTTTGCTTCAGGATGAGAACAGAAATCGTGCTCCAGTGGCAGCAGGAGGCCCCATTAGCTAAAGTGATGCTTCAGGTTAAGAACAGTTTCAGGTTAAGAACGGACCTCCAGAACGAATTAAGTACTTAACCCGAGGTACCACTGTATATCTGTTGATGAACTGTACCACTTGAGGCTGCAGGTGTGAGGTAGAATGTATAAATGGTCACTCACGTTAAAAAACAACAACAGCAAATAGCTTGCATATACAAAACTAGAATTTCTAGTCAAAGCCAGTGGATTCCCCCAAGGGGTACTCAAGGGTACCCAGCAGCAGCACCTCTTTTTGTTGTTGTTAAAAGGTGTGGCACTTCCTGTAACAACTTCATGATGAGTACTGGCACCAGCCCCTTCACTTGCAACCTCATGTGGTATAGTCCAGCAACAAAGATGCATTGTGTACAATTGTCGATGGTTGCATTTGGCCTCTTAAAACTCCCCATCCTGGTCTGGTTTTGCACTGGTCCCTTATCAGCCCTGTGGACCAGGTGGGGCTTCTTGAGCATGGGGGCCAGGATGTCACTTCCACTTAGGTTCTTGTCATGAGAACTGTCTGGATGAAAGGTGTGTGCAAAAAAAAGGTGTATGTTCTCAGATCTTGGGTTCTGGAGCACCATGAAGAGATGAAGATAGCAGATAACGTTCAAAGGGGGCGGACATACATTGTTCCATTTGTAGAACCCCCCACTAGTTTGCAGTGGGACAGTTTTCACCATGGTTACACAATGGTTTAACAATCCCCCCCCCCCCGATTTCATCAGTGTAGAATTTTACTTGCTTGTGGCCTTGAATAATCTCTTTAGCAGTTTTAACCTCCATTTTTTTTTACAAAATAGTCTCGAGTTGAAGTTCATATACAGTGGTGCCTCACAAGACGAAATTAATCCGTTCCGCGAGTCTCTTCGTCTTGCGGTTTTTTTCGTCTTGCGAAGCACGGCGCTTAGCGGCTATTAGCGGCTTAGTGGCTATTAACGGCTTAGCGGCTATTAACGGCTTAGCGGCTATTAACGGCTTAGCGGCTTTAAGAAAAAGGAAACAAACTCACAAGACGTTTCATCTTACGAAGCAAGCCCATAGGGAAATTCGTCTTGCGGAACGACTCAAAAAACGGAAAACCCTTTCGTCTAGCGATTTTTTCGTCTTGCGAGGCATTCGTCTTGCGGGGCACCACTGTATACAGATGCCGCCGAACATACAAATCTTTCTTAAGAACCTGTGGCCATCCAGATCTTGTTGGACTCCAACTCCCATCGGCCGCAGCCAGCATGGCCAGTAGCCAGGGATGATGGGAGTTTTAGTCCAGTAACTTCTTGAAGGTCACAGATTTGCCATCCCTGTCTACTTTGATGGATCTCAGGGAGAGGCTTTTCCCCATTCCCTGCTATCTTTATCCATTTAATTGGAAAGGCCAGAGATTGACCCTAGAAATACCTGTATAAAAATGCGTATTCTTATCCTTGAGCTATGGTTCAGGCAGTCAGTGGGTTGTATCCAGTGCTGGTTCTACTCAGAGTAGACCAATTGAAATTAATGGCTCTGACTCTTAGGTCAATTAATTTCAGTGTTTCTACTCTGAGTACTGCTTAGTTGGATACAACCCTTTGTCCCGATTAAGTTTTGTTTTCTGTTAGGTTTTCCCAGAAAGATGCAAATCTGTACTAGTGAAGGGAGTGCCTGCCTGCACACAGAATGACATATTCTTGTTTTTCTTACAGATAGTGTTGATGGAGTCAGTGTCCCGATCACCCCAGGACCTGGAGAACAGACCATTGACGTAGAACCGTAAGAACTAGTCTTATGTATTCAGACATTACTTGGTATCCATTGTAGTTTTATAAACTGAATGTGATCCAAAACATCTTGGGTCTAGTACAGTCGTACCTTGGTTCTCAAACGTAATCCGTTCCAGAAGTCCGTTCGACTTCCAAAAAAGTTCAAAAACCGAGACGCGGCTTCTAATTGGCTGCAGGAGCTTTCTGCACTCAATCAGAAGCCACATTGGATGTTTGGGTTCCAAAGAGCATTCGAAAACTGGAACACTTAGTTCTGGGTTTTGAGCGTTCGAGAACCAAGGTACAACTGTAGTTTACATGTTCACTGTAAGCCATAGTTAATGGTTTGCCATGAATGCAGAGGTTGCTTCTGTCTCACTTCTTCTCCTAGTGAAAGGAACAAACCATGACCCCTGGTTTCTGGGGTTGCAGAGCTCATCTCGCTTTATTGGCTGAGGGAGCCGGTGTATAGCTTCCAGGTCATGTGGCCAGCATGACTAAGCCACTTCTGGCAAGACCAGAGCAGCGCATGGAAATGCCATTTACCTTCCCGCTGGAGTGGTACCTATTTATCTACTTGCACTTTGACGTGCTTTCGAACTGCTAGGTTGGCAGGAGCAGGGACCGAGCAACAGGTGCTCACCTCGTCGCGGGGATTGAAACCGCTGACCTTCTGATCAGCAAGTCCTAGGCTCTGTGGTTTAACCCACAGCACCACCTGCGTCCCATGCCATACCGGTCTGAAAACAGGATACACTCCGCCCTGCTCAACCTGACTTGTATAAAACCTGAGTGAGGTCTATTGTTGCACTCTTAAAAGTACCATGATTTAAGAAATCTGATTTTAGTGGTGTGGACTATATTTGGGGGTGGCTTACATTCAGGCCAATACAGTAATAAACAAACAAACAAACAGGCCCAGACATAGCGTAAAAGAAAAGCAAGGGACCTCTCAAAATGAAGCTTCATATTAACCTAAGTCTTTAAAACTGTGCCCTTGCCCCAACAGAACTGGGTGATTAAATAGTCACGGAATTCAACGGCAAAGCTCTGTCTTGAGAGAAGAGTTAAGGAACAGAGTTAGGACAATTAAAATGCTAGCAAACAAGGAAGCTTTAAAAACTGAGCTGTTCCAGTTCTTCACTCTCCAGTCTCCCACGTGGACTTTTTAAACAGATATAATTGTAACAAAAAACAATATGAATAAAATGCAATTGTGACATGAGGCGGAAAGGAATTCCCATCTTGGCTATTATCTGCCAAACAACCAGTTGAAAATGGTTATGTATGCTTAGTTTAGCTGAACGTCGTTCCATTAATAGTTAAGCTGAGTGAGACAGGGATTTTATTAATGGTTTGAAAAGCTTAAACATAGTGCCCAAATGAGTGCGAGGTTTTAGGAGCCCCCAAGGAGAAATCTGGGTCTTTGACTACATCAGTTTGCCACACAGAGGGATGGGAAGTCACTAAACATAGGAAAGAATACATTCCTCTGGGGTATATGAAGTGTCAATTCCATATGCTTCATTTTGCGCTTAAAGATACCTCCTCCCCCATCACCTCTGATTGAGCTATTTACAGTAGTACCTCGGGTTACAAACACTTCGGGTTACAAACTCTGCTAACCCAGAAGTAGTACCTTGGGTTAAGAACTTTACCTCAGGATGAGAACAGAAATGGCGCGGCAGGAGCAGGAGGCCCCATTAGCGAAAGCGCGCCTCAGGTTAAGAACGGTTTTGGGTTAAGAACGGACCACCAGAACGAATTAAGTTCGTAACTCGAGGTACCACTGTATATTGGTTGAAGAATGCAAAACATTGCACGGGGGTTCTTTCACACGAAAAGTACCACTTCAGAGATCACCCTCTGTGCATGACCAGGGCAGAACACCAGATATAATTGTTCTTGAAACTCAGGGGTCCTTCCAGAAGTAGTTTCTGAAGCAGCATAAGAAGCTGCAGTTGTTGTTTTAAAAATATAAATGTCAAGGCAAACCACTGGCAGCGTTCACATGTCACACTAAGCCATGCTTAGCGGTTTTTACCGAGAACAGACTGGACCTAATGGTCAGGGGTCCCTTTACCTTTACCTACGGCATGGGTATATTCCATCTTTCCTCCAAGGAGCTCACAGTGACATACATGGTTCTTCCTCCTCCTGTTTATCCTCACAACAACCCTGTGAGGTAGGTTTGGTTGAGAGTTAGTGACTGGCCCAGGGTCACCCAGTGAGTTTCCTGGCTGAGTGAGGATTTGAACCCTATTCTTCCAGGCCCTAGTCCAACGCTTTAACCATAGTAGTTTGCCCACCAAACCTCAACGCCAAATTTTGGTGAGTGAGTGAAATGGGGAGGAGATGAAGTTTCTTTATATGCTTTCAGGCATATCAATATTGGATCGAGATTCCAAGCCGATATTCCTGAACTTGAAGACAGAGCGTTGGTGGGGGAAGAGGACCACATGGCAACTTTAGTTTGGAAACCAGGGCCAGAACTGGAAGATGAAGATATCCAGCAAAGAGGTACTGTGTTTTCTAACCCTCTTTGCAACTGATCTAAGCATCTCTGCCAGGTGTCCTGTCCTGGTTTATCATTCCACCTCTGTTTCTTATGGTGTAAAAGTCATTGCTTCATTAAATGGGTACTGACCTTCACATGACTTGTTGTGTATCTGTGCAGAATAACACCTCTTGCTGTCCTTTAGCTTGATCGCCACTTTGAAACTCAGCTCAAAATGTGCCTTTTTCCTCAAGCCATGGGAGTTTTTCGCCTGGCTGCTGGACTGTTCATAATTTTTGTTGGGTATTATTTTAATGCTTCTGTTTTCCTTATGCCTGGTTTATATAGTTTTCATATTTATTGGAACATTTATTTTGTCACTGAGAACCTTGCGGGTTGAAGGACAACATATAAATCTTATAAAAATTATTACTGTTACAGGCAGCGAGACCATTTTACATTTTACATTCATCCAAGCAACATGTGACTGCCAACATGTGGGGGGGGGACTCATAACGGAGCCCCCCCCCACAAAACAATTGCCACCTGTTTTTATTTTATTTTATTTTATTAGCTGTTCTAAATAGCTTAATTAATATTTAAGAGTGTCTAAGTGCTGTACAAAATACAATATAAAAACCCGTAAAACAGGTAAAAGCAAAATTATTTTCCCCAGTGTTTAAAATAATGCTGGTAGATGCATTTCAACCTAAATAATAATAATAATAATAATAATAATAATAATAATAATAATTATTATTATTATTATTACTCTGGGCGGCTTCCAACAAAGATGAAAGATACACTAAAATATATATGCGTTTGGCCACCCCCTCTGAAACACTTGTCTGGTACAGTTGTATCTTGGTACTCAAATGCCTTGGTACTTGCTTGTTTTGGCTTCCAAACACCGCAAACCCAGAAGTAAGTGTTCCTGTTTGCAAACATTTTTTGGAAGCCGAACTTCCGACGCGGCTTCTGCTTGAGTACAGGAAGCCCCTGCAGCCAATTGGAAGCCACGCCTTGGTTTTCCAACCGTTTCGGGAGTTGAACAGACTCCCGGAACAGATTAAGTTCGAGAATCAAGGTACCACTGGTTTTCTGTTCCAACTTTCTCAAAATGAGAATCTGAGCTTGTAAGAATTAGAAGATTTGTGCTGACTTCATGACACTTTCAGATTTATGTTTTTGCTTACAGGCTGAATATTGGACAGGTTTGACAATACTGTTTTGAATTGTTTTCTTACAGTGACCAGCCTTTTAAATCTGTGTTGTTCAAGTGTATTGACTGGTGGGGGAACCAACCTTGAATATGGCTTGCATTCTCTCTTTGAGGCTAAAGGAGACGTTATGGTAAGAGCAGCTTATTTATCCTCTCCCAAATATGTGTTAAAATATGTGTAACAGGCTTCATGAGGAAACCGGGCACAAGAAAGCTTTTTCCAGTGACTAATTGGGAGAATTTAGCCTCACTCTGGCACCCACCACTTTCCTTTCTCAAAAGAAACCTTTTATTTTATTATTCCTAGTTTTTATTTGTTCATTAAAAAACGCATACCTTGCCTTTCTTTAGAAAAACATTCAACACCGCCAGTTGACTTGTTTATTTCGTAATGTTTATACACTGTTTGTTAAAAAACCCAGAAACAAAACCCTGGATGATGCTCGTTTAAAATACAGTTAACTAAAATGGCAGAATTACAGTAATACTCCAAATCAACAGTAGTTAAAATCATACTCGTGGAATACATAATGCAAAACCAGCATCAACTAAAATCAGACAGAACATCCTGGGTCTAAGGCCCATTTAAAATGGTCAGAGAATGAGACAGGTGTATCTCGTGCAAAAGGTTGTTCCATTGGATGGGCTCTTCCATCCGTAACATGGCGATAATAAGACTGGCCTGCTCACAGGGCTGTTTTAAGGATTGCTGAGGTCCCAGCAAAGGAAGAATGGATACAGAAACTTATGGAATATGCAGAAATGGTGGAACTTACCGGAAAAATAAGAAACCAGGCAACAAACGTTTTATAAAAGAATAGAGATGGTTTATTGAATATTTACAGATAAATTGTAAACAGATAAGAACATTGGCAGGATTATTGCAACAACCTGCAGTTTTATAAGAGTATATATTTAAAGCAGATGAATAAATGAGCAAATTAAGTTAATTTGGATATTCAGAAGGTATCAAAAATAAATTTAAGGAACACCAGAAAGAGGAGGAAGGAAGTCAAACTTTGAAATGTTAAAATGATTGTAAAATTATAGTGAAATGTATAAATCTGAAAAGCATAAATAAATTTTAAGAAAAAGGATTGCTGAGAAAATGTATAAGGAGCTCTTAGTGCACATAGAACAAATGGTATGTAAATTTTATTATTTTATTACATTATTAAAAGAAGCAAAAGAGTCATAACAATTAAGTGTCACGGAGTCTTAAAAGAAGATAGAGTCATAATAATTAATAATGACAATTCTTCTTGCCTCTCTTTGTCCTGCAGGTCGCTCTGGAGATGCTGCTTCTGCTGAAGCCAGAAAGAGCAAAATCGCATCCTCTGGCAAGTTATCACTATGCTGGTAAGTTCCTGAAGGGATAAGTTAAAAGGATTACCTAATAAAGGCTAGTTCTGTGTGTGAGTCCTTTGCTCGTGGAAGAAATGCAGCTGTAGTGTCATTGATGAAGTTCAGAGAAAATAGTTATTCCATTGACAGTATACATACACACCTACTTGCAGAAATCATAGAATCTTTGAACTGTAGAGTTGGAAGTGACCCCTGCAATGCAGGAATCTCAACATGCGGTTCCCCATCCAATTTGAAACCATACCGGAACCTGCTTAGCTTCGCATATGTGATAGCAGTTTTCTTTTTGTACCATAGTGCAGGCACACCCCCACCCTCGATTATTATCCATTTGTTTCTTTCAGGTTCAGACCAGTGGACACCCGTTGAAAGAAAGCTGTTCAGCAAAGCATTATACACATACGGCAAAGATTTTATTTTGGTACAGAAAATGGTAAGGCTTGTTGTCCTTGTTCGTGCTTTGTTGACATTCCTGATCTTGTGGTTTTCAGCCACTAAGTTAGTTTCATCATATGAAAGTAGAACATTATCAACATCATCTCCTGTTGCTTTTCTTTGCCACTTTCCTGCAAAAACCAGGCCCAAAGTGATTCACAACGTAGCAAATGAACAATAAATATAACGACTGGAAAATATGAGTATCAATGAGTTTAAAAAGAAAAAGAGAGATCCACACAGCATTGTATAAAACAATGCAAAAAAGTGAAACAGATTTAGTATTTCCATTTAAGCAATAACGTCAACACACAAATAGAATAGTAGGGTGCAAAACATCGCCCTGTTCCACACAATGCACCTGTATCTAATTGTTTGGTTCCGAAACTCAGTCTCCGTCCCAAGGACCCTAACCCCATCTCCCACACAGACCCTGCCTCCCTGGCTCTCACCCAGAGGGGCCTTATGCTCACCATTATCATGTGCTCTTACCCACATGGTGGACATTAACTTTCCTTCCACACTCTCCCACCAAGCACTGCTCATTCATCTAGGTTGGGGGGAATTCATACATTTTAGCTTATGAGAGACTCCTCTAAGCATTTGGTTTATTTTACTGTGTCTGTGATACTGAGCAAGAATTTGTTGCTGAAATTAGAGCAGGGGAGAAGGAATGTTGAAGGGTGGGTGGTTGGGGCAGAGAGCATCTGCACTGAAGTGGGGAGACCCAAGTTCATATTCTCTACTCGGTAAATGAATCTCATTGGTGACATAGAGCCCAGCCCCTCCTCTCAGCCCAGCCCCTCTCCCAGTCATAGCTGTCAACCTTCCCTTTTTTTGCGGGAAATTCCCTTATTCCAGCGCCGTTCCCCGCTGCTTCCTGCTGCTGTCCCGGATTGTTAGATATCCCGTAGACTGTCCCCAGGACAGGTGAGGCTGCTGATCCCTTATTTTCAAATCTGAAAATTGACAGCTATGCTCCCAGTCTAAACAGGACTGTCACCCAGTGCTCCATAATGGACTGGCAGGATAAAAATGAGCATGTGACTGGGAGCATAGGTAAAAATACTTCCATAAGATCTGTAGCCCAATTCATGCTTTCAAGCTTTCTTCCGCACTTTGTGATCAAGACACGAGTGAGTGGTGTTTTTGGTGTTGCGCTGAACGCTACACAATCGTAGATCAATGTTGCAACATCTGAATTACTGTTTGACTGTAGGTGAAGTCGAAGACGGTGGCCCAGTGTGTGGAATACTATTATACCTGGAAGAAAATCATGCATTTAGGACGAAAGCACAGAACACGCTTAGCAGAAGTGAAAAATGAATGCCTGGTAGGAGCCACCCTCCTTTTTATTTTTCTAGTTTGTGAACTTGTGCTCTCCAGATATTTATTTCTGACATTGCTCCAAGGTTCAGAAATTCCCTGGCATCTCCAGTTTAAAGGATCAGATAGCAAGGAATAGGAAAGACCTCTTAAATGGAGAGCCACTGCTAGCCAGAGTGCTCCAAGTTGGTGAAAGCAGCTTTTAGCAGCTGTTCAACTTGATTTTTCAAGCTGGGAGGAGGTCAGCCAGCTTGGGGAAAGACTCCTCCCTCCTTCAGAGCTGAGAGAAGAGCTTTCCTGTCTCCCATTTATTTAAGGCATGCTTGCTCTCCACCCCACCTCCCCTAAAATCCCTTTTGAATTTCAGACTAGCGGCGAAGATGATGAATTAGAGGAAGAGGAGCAGGCAGAGGAGGACAAGAAGTCCGTCAAAGAAGAAGCCGAAATTCAGAATTCTCCTGAGCCGCCTTCAATTATTGCTGCTGAACCTATTAACCTGCCTTCCTTGCAAAGCCCCACACTTCCAGCGACCTCATTTACATGTGAAATGCCAGACTGCGGAGCGGTAAGTGGACTTGGAAACATTTTAATTCTATGGTACAGCTGTGCTTGGAATGTTACATCCGGTTCGGGTTGCCCCACCTCAGAAAGGGATATTGTAGAGCTGGAAGAAGAGGGCAACCCAAAACCGTCAGGGAGATGGATCAACTCGCCTATGATGAAAGGGTAAAACATTTGGGGAGGGCTTGTTGAAGTGGCTGGCCGCCACCATAGGAAGAAAAAAGTTGGAGATCTCCCAAGTACACAAGAAAAGGTTTTTAAGCCCAACACATTTTGGAGAAAATCCTCCTCGTTGAGCGCTCTAGGAGCCAAGCTGCAGCTGTGCTTTACAGACTGGGTCACAAACTGTTATTTAAGAGTCCCCCCGAAGAAGGATTTATTCCAAAACACATGAGGCCTGAGAAGTCTCTTCCTAGGTGCCTAGAGGTCTCTTCCCTTTTTCTTCCTTCCCCTTTCTGTTTAAGACGGTGGTCAAGAAAAACAAAGTTGGGCTAGATGGAAGTTTTTAACTGGTCCAGCAGGATTCTCCTTATGTTTTTAAGCAAGCAATCAGAACAGGCCAGTGGCCAATCGTGGTGCAAAATCCAGTTGTCACAGTGGCCAACCAGTTGCCTGTGGGAAACTCTTGATTGCACTTCACTTTTGTGACTTGGAACTGTAGCATTGCAAGGGACCACGAGGGCCATCTAGCCCAACCCCCCGCAATGCATGATTCTTTTGCCCAACATGGGCCTTGAACCCACAACCCTGAGATTAAGAGTCTCGGGCTCTACCAACTGAGCTATCCTTTTGCCCCCTAGATGTTCAACTCCAGACCAGCTCTGAATGGCCACGTTCGCATTCATGGCGGTACAAACCCTGTGACGAAAACCCGCGGTGGGAGCCACGGTGCGAAGCAGAAATCCAGCTCCCAGAATGATTACCCTGCCAAAAACTCCCCAGCTCACAGCACGACAAGTGGCGAGACAGACCCAACTACACTTTTCCCTTGCAAAGAATGTGGCAAGTGAGTAGATGTGGGAAACACAGAAAGAACTTAGTTGTTTCATCAGGGGGAAATAAACAGAGATGTTAGGAGTGGGGCTCCCTAGAATGGTATAAACCAGGGGTAGGGAACCTTTGGCCCAGGTTCAAAATGTGCCCCATCAGGCCTCCCTGTCAGGCCCTTGGGATGTGCCTGAGGCCACACACCCTTCCCAGGCTGGCTGGTCCTGCTGTGATCCCTCCTTGGGTTACCTGCAGTGTTTTGATGCCTAAGCAGAGGATGGTAAACTCCTTGATGTAGCCAATCCCAGGGTAGTACGCTGCCAGCACCAATCAGCTGATAGGCACTGACAGCAAGACCCCTTGGTTGCACCAGGGAGTTCTATGTCATCAGCGCAGCCTGGGGAACTAGATCTGAGCACTGGACTGGATCCCCATCTCCCCCACTTGCTGTAGACCTCTCCATCTCTCCACCTCTGAAATGTGCACAGAGCTATGCAAGCTTCATCAATCGACCGGCTATTTCAAAGTAACGCGTGGCATGCAGGCCCTTTTGCAGGAACTGACAAGCAGGTGGTGGTTTTTGCTTGCGAAGTGCTTTGTATGGTGTACCACTGGACTATGAATCTATGGGTGGTCTGCATCATAGCGGCAGAAAATTGGCTGTGCTTGCAGGACGTCCCAGGTTCAAACGCCAGCATCTCCAGGGAGGGCTGGAAACATTCCCTGCCTGAATTACCGGAGAGCTGCTTCCAGCTAGTGTAGACAGTCCTGAGCTAGATGGACCAGTGGTCTGAATTGGTATAGAGCAGCTGTGTTTTGCAGGTACCTCTGATCAGCTGGTAAGTTATGCCTTTGACCCAGCCGCATCTTTTACCCGTCCCACACCTGGCATTGTATATAATGTCACGGGTTGGGCAGGTGTGTGCGTGGTGTGGCCAAAAGAGCCTCACAGTCCAAATCTGGAGGCCTGGCAGGTCTGATGAAGACCAGATGGTTCCCTGCTGCTAATGCAACTGATCCGTGCGAGGCTTTGCTGTCAGTGCCCACCAGGACTTCTTGTAACAACCACTCTTTCAGCAGTGAGACCTGCTTGGCCCAAAGGATCCGGGAGAATGAGGGAATTGCTGTGTGAGGATGCATACCCTCTGTTGCTCATTATTTCAACCCAGAGTTCTTTTCTACAAAGGAACCTTTAGCAGCAAAGGGGCCTGGTCTGCCTCCATCCCTTGATGACCGGAGAGGTGTTGGGAGAGCAGAGGGCACATACCAGGGGGCACCCATCCCTGGAGCCCAGTTCTCCCCTCGCCTTCCAGTATCCTTCCATTGGTAACAAGGCAGCCTCCTTCCCCCCTTGAAATGATCATTCAAGGGTTTAACTAACACCTTAAGTTTATTCTGGTTCCCTTCTTGTGAATGCTTGGAAACAGTCCTGGATTTAGGGCACTGTGGGCAGTTACCCCAAACAGGCAGCTGAGCTGACAGGGTGCAAAATAATAGTAGTAATAATAATAGTAATACAGTGGTACCTCTGGTTGCAAACAGCATCCATTCCGGAGGCCCGTTCACAACATGAAAAGAATGCAACCCGCAGCAGCGCATCTGCGCACGCGCGGGTTGCAATTCGCCGCTTCTGCGCATGCACGTGACATCATTTTGCACTTCTGCACATGTGCGAGCGGCAAAAAACTGGAAGCAACCCTTTCCGGTATTTCTGGGTCGCCGCAGGACGTAACCTGAAAGAACGTAACACGAAGCGGATGTAACATGAGGTATGATTGTACTAGCACTACTACTACTACTGCTGCTATTACTACTAGCCAGATAGGCAGGATATAAATATAAATATAATAATAATAATTTTATTTTATTACCAAAGTCTGCCTGCTTGAAAATGCATTTATCTGTATATTCAACTAACACCTACACTTTTTGGATGTTCACAGTAGCACATATACTCAAAATAATTGTTTCTGAAATCTGCTCTCTCTCTCTCTCTCTCTCTCTCTCTCTCTCTCTCTCTCTCTCCGCATTCCTTTCTCTTCCTCTCCCCCCCCCCCCCAACGCTAGGATGTTTTTCAAAATCAAAAGCCGGAATGCTCACATGAAAACACACCGGCAGCAGGAAGAGCAGCAGCGGCAGAAAGCCCAGAAGGCGGCTGTTGCAGCTGAAATGGCAGCTACGATTGCAAGGACCACGGGGCCCTCTGGGCATAGCTTGATACCCTTGGATCATTTGGACTTGATCAAGCAGGTTGAGGAAGCCGATGACCTCAGCAGCGATGTTGTTCAGGAATTGGGAGAGGTCATGGACGGTACTGAAGTGATAGACCCTGACCTCTTACTGGATGAAGACGACACAGATTTGCTTCAGGATGATGTGGAGCTGTAGAGAGAAAAAAAGCCATTCTGTAAAATTATGGATGCCTGTTGGAATTGTTTTCCTTCGGCTGGGAGGGTTAAGTGTTTACTTCCCTTTTATTTTCAACTATCTGAATAGTTTGAATGTTTTGTTTTTGTTTTGTTTGTAACTCGGGGGTGGAGGAGGGTGGGATAAATCTGGTTATTGCTGTTGGTCCTTTTACTTTTTGCAACTGTGATTGCAAAAAGATTCATTTTTCCCCTCATTCGAAAGGTATTTTTTGTCAAATACCTTGCAAGCTAGTTGGTTCTGAGAAGTCTTATTTCCTTACTGTTTCCTTTCAGGCATTTACGTGACAAGTCCCCAAATTTATTTGCAACACCTCAGGGTTTTTGTTTTCCCTCCCACCACACCCCCTATACGAGTAGATTTTGGTTTCTTTTTCTTTTCAAGACGTGTTTCATTTTGTGCCTTCAGCTCTGGCCTCAAAACATCTGCCACAACAAAGAATGCTGTCTCTGCAATAAACAGAAGCTGAGACTTGGATTGTTGGCATCTGAAAGTTTTGCTCTAACATGTCACCGGGCTTGTTAGAGGGCCTCTCTGCTGATAGGACAAGTAGCTGTGGCAAGTTCTTTCCCATTACACGGAATGCTCTGTGGTGGATGGAGGCTTCCAAGATGTCTTCAGGTTTTCTTCTTAACAAGAAGACTGGCTTTGTAGAAATGGATGGGCTTGGCGGCCTATTCCGCTTTACTTTGACCCAGAAGAAATTTGAGCGGCCCTGAAACAAGCGAGAACAGCTAGATTAGCCCTCTGTGAATCTGCATTCACTTCCTTCTTTCCCTCTTATGAGGCAATCTGTTTCTTTGAGAAGGGCTCTACTTGCGTTGTGCACTTCAGAGCTCCCAGTTAAACAGGATTGAGGGAGGGATACAGTGAAATCAGAAGTCCACAGGCTTCACCATGGGAGATGCTGCTGAGGCACATCTCAAAAGTCTTTTGACTGGAGACTACTGGCTTGGATACTTGGACTTGGATGTGCATTCGTGATAGGAATGCACTGAAATACCTCCATTTGCAAAAGTTTTATCACTTTTTTGTTTTAAAAAGGTTATCCTTGAGAGTATGCAGGGATTTATTATTGTTAATTATTATTATTATTATTTGCTGCCTAGAGGCAGTGGTACTTATCAAGACCTTTCCTCACAGAAAGAAGAGGGGGGAGATTTCCACTTTGAGGTAAAGCACGTTAAGATATTCATCATGGCCAGAGGCCGTTTATGTATGTATGTATGTAAGAAATAAATAAAAATTACATAGCTTGGCTGATAACGTTAGCATAAATATACACAGTGGGGTTTTATGCCTGCCAGCACTCTCTTATGGAGCCATAGGTTTGCTCTGGGAAGCGATAAAGCCCAGCAAACATTCAGCAGTTTGGGTCAGGGGGTGGCGGGTATGGAAACGCAATAAATAAACACACACACACACACACACCTCTTCTATATGAAATTTTTATCAGGCCACAGCTTCCTCATTCCTTTTCAGGGAAGTCAGCATGTTCAACTTTGGAATGACTTGGCTAGGGAGCTTGCACCTTTTTCCTTCCCAGAGCTAGGAGTGGGATCATTCCCCAGGCCACGGTCTTCTTGTGCATCACCTCTATTGCTTATAAAAGTTGCAAAGTATGATGGGAAAATAGACAGTTACTATATCTTACATTTGCACCTCAGAGTCAGACCAGAGCCCTAGAAAAAGTTAATAGTCAGAAACGTCTTTATTTTTCTCATTCAAAGCCAAACCGTTCATAGCCATGCTCCCACTTGGTTCAAAAGCTGCGCCAGGCATGGGTGAGACTGGTGAGACGTGGCTCTTGGATGCCCCCGAATCAAATGAAGATTGACCCTCTTAAGCCAGGGCCGCTTTAGACAACTGAAATTGTCTCCACTTGGCACATTCCCCAGGCATTTCAGGAAAAAAGTAGCACCTGTCCCAGGGTGTTCCCAGTTTACACCCAATAGTTCTCAGTGGTGATTCAGGGTTGAAAAGAAATGTGTTGCTTTGTTCACTTAAATTGCTGCCAGAAAACCGTGGTCAGATACTAGTTTTCCACGCAGTTGCCTCTCCAGTTGGAATCGCATCCTCTGTGTGGCCGTGTCCCTGAGGATCTGCACGGAGACAATCTCCGAGAAGATGAACTGGCTTTCAGTATGAGCGGACCGATTTAATAATCATTGAAAGCATTTTGATAAATGCAGAGGAACTATTTGGGTGTTCCTTGCAAGCTACTCCTCTCTTTTCCCCAAGCTTTCTCCCTGAGAATCTGTTCTCATCAGGGAATAGCTAGTGTCACCCAGGTTGTCTTTGGAGAGTTGGATATGATTCTTCAGTGTGTCTGCCCATCTCAGTCAAGGGGTGTGATTTGCCTTCACCTGTTGCTGTCGCCCGACATAGCTGATGAAGAGAACTGGCAACTTGCACGCTGTGTGAGATGTTTCTCATAGGTCCAGCTGATCACAGACAGCCTTGCATGGTTGACCCTTTTCCAGGGGTTAGCTAATGTAGGGAGTTAGGTGACACCTATAAGCATGCCTGCTCTCATATGAAATGTTTGCTGGCAAGTGACATTTTTAGTGTTCTTAGCGAGATGCTGGTACCTGCATGTCTGAGCAAAATATTTTCTCTCTCTCGGTATTATTTTCAAAAGGAATGTAATGTCCCTCCCAGTTTTCATTGACTGGCATCTACTGGGACAGACCCTTAAGAATTCTCAAAAGTCAGGGATTGTGTATTTTCCATCTGTTATCTAATCGGATTCTGTTAACAGCTTGGCAGGGGACTGGCATAATGGTGGTGTTGTGTAGGTCAGTATCTGATCAGCTTACTGGTTATTTGTTTTAGCCATTGGCCATAACAGTTACATGTGGTTGCAGTAAAAAAAAACGCATCAAAAACAAAAAATAGAGGAGCATCATAAAACAAAACATATCCAGCCTATAGGCAACTAATTACACAAGCATCCAGATTTTTTTGTCAAAAGTTTTGTAGCAGCCAAGGCAAACATAGCCACAGTTCCAGAGATCTCTATCCTGTTTGCAATGGAAAAAATATTATTTCTGCTGATTTTACCAGTTGACATACTCCTTCAGTAGGCAAAGGAATCATTGTGCCTTTAGGATAAAACAAGAACAAACTAAATAGGTACCACAGACTGTCTTCCGTTGCTTCCTCATCACAAATGCAATAATGCTGTGGTATTGCCTGGCTAACACAGCAGAGGGCATCAGCTGAAATCTTACCAATGTGTATTCTTTCCTGTAGTGCAAATCTAGACCAATCAGTTTAACTAATTCTTTTGCCATTTGCCATTAAAGTACGGTTACATGGACAAAGATTTCTTGCATTTCCAGTTTAACAGGGTAACACAGAATCTAAATGTAATACGCAGGAAAGACCAGCTGAGCTATTCTTTGAAACCAATTGGACAGTCCTAGGCAATCAGGTTGCAAGTGTTTGGAAGCCTATTGTGACATATGCATGATCTGTAACCAATAAATAAAGAGAGGAGGCTAATGCGTATATAACAATAGCTCCTTCCAAACAGATTCATTGAGTTTATATTTGACTATATGATGCAGCATTACACCAACAAGCCCATGTAACAAATGTCTGTTCTAGGTCAGGACTTGTTAAAACATGGAAGGTTTGGGGTGATACATATTCTTGTCAGCAAGCAATGATTTCTCCAATGTGAAATTGCAGTGTATAGGCCTTTCCTTCAGATTTATAACCACAAAGTTGTCCTTTAGCAGTAGTCTTACATCTCACTGGAAGGTGTTACAGGGGAAATTGCCATCTTGTAAAAGTATTGTGGAGCAAATGATGTGTCTTAAAATAACCAAAGAGAATCTCAGAATAATTCTTGGAAGAAATATTGATCCTCGTTTAACATACATAGGTTCTGTATTTCTAAGACAATTGCAGTGATAAATAACATCTAAATATGGTCAACATTTTGCTGGAAAATCTGATCTTTTATTTCCCTTTTTGTTAATGTTTCATGTTTATTGTGGTATAATTCCAGTAGAGAATTAGAGAAAAATTGTACATAACAAAAGAAAAAATCTATTTTATGGGGGAGGAAATCTTATTTTCAGACATATTTAACTGCTGTTATATTGTTACAGAAAAGCTGTAAATAATTTCAGAGTTACAGTGTAGTGTAAAGAATGTTCTTTGGGGATAAAATAATAAACATTTTAATGTAGTTCTTTTTATTTTTGTAAAAAAACCTTTGCCTGTTACGGCTTAATTGCACCTGAACTGCATGTGGTTTAACTTCAGGGTGTAATTTTATTCAGGTTTGCACTAAAATGTTTAATTTCATACGATGATGTGCCATGGTGTTTTTTCTTTCTTTTCCCCCTTTCCCTTTTGTTTCTTTGGAAGGGGCATGAATCCCAGTTAGTTCATGAGAGCACTATGTACTATATAGAAATATTTCATCTTTTTCTTAAATCGACAGAATATTGTATTTGTAAAATCAAAGGGATCCAACGTAACGCTGCCACAGAACAGTATTTTATACTTTTGATAAGATGTACTTTGCTGATTTTTTTCCCTTGTTCACGTGACAAAAGAATTCTTTTAAATAAATTAATCTTCATTTGAAATATGTAGCATTTTTTAAAAGTTGAGATGTTTATCTGAGTTGCCTGTACCAAAATGGGCCCCCAAACTTAGAGGAAGTGCCCCCCCGCCCCACTACATATGTGAGAATGAATAGGCATGTGCATAACCGCCACACTAGCATTTCAGTCATTTCCAGAGGAGTATCTGTGTTTGTCTCATGCCCCAAAAACAAGAGACTTATGACGCTGTAAAAATTTGACACATTTATTGTGGCATGAAGTTTTGTGGGCTGTAGCCCACTTCATCAGATGCCTGAAGTTCATACTAAATTTGTTGACGGTTGCATCCAGCTAACGCTGTGACCACATTTGAGCATTATTTAGTTGTTCATCTCCCTCCCCCCCACCCCAGCACACATTTGAATTAGAGCAGAGTAGTCCAAACCCATAGGTATTTGTGGAGCAACTTCAGTCTTTACTGGTCATCCAAGTAGGTGTTGCTTTATGTCTTTGACCTTGGGGGAAGGATCACGATCACTGTTGTTGCTGCTTTAAAAATAATACAGTGGTGCCTCTGGTTACGTACTTAATTCGTTCCGGAGGTCCGTTCTTAACCTGAAACTGTTCTTAACCTGAAGCACCACTTTAGCTAATGGGGCCTCCTGCTGCCACCGCGCTGCCAGAGCACGATTTCTGTTCTCATCCTGAAGCAAAGTTCTTAACCCGAGGTACTATTTCTGGGCTAGCAGTCTGTAACCTGTAGCGTATGTAACCTGAAACGTATGTAACCTGAGGTACCACTGTAATAATAATAATAATAATAATAATAATAATAATAATAATAATGATGTGTCATTTGAGGGTAACATCGTGTTGACAACACAAATGCAAGGAGCTACAAACCATAGTGTGGTTCTGTGCAGATTAGACCTGCTGAAATTACCTGGCCTCCGTCATGTCCGTTAATTTCAGTGGGTGTGACTAAAGCATACAACATTAATCAATGCTATAAAACTCATGTCTTTAGCAGCATTTTAAAGTACTATTTAACAATCCTGCTTGTGTGTACAAAAGGGTGGGGTGGGGGTGGTTTCATTTGGTAAAGAAAATGTTTCTTTATTAAAGCCTTTATCAAAGCGGGGTTAAGTAGCAACTGTTCTGAAAGATGGAGATCATAATAAGCTGTAATAAACTTAACTCCACCCCAATCTGCAACCAGACAGAAGTTAAATCCTGGAGTACATTACATAGCTGTACATATTCTTAGGCGCCAGGTAAAAACTTTCCTCTTCTCCCAGACCTTTGGCTAAATTTTAAAAATCTGTGGCCTTTTAAACTGGCAAGAGGGGGAGTTATTGTTTTGTTTATTGTGTTATGTGGTGGTGTGTGTTTATACAGTAAGCAGTCCTGTGATCCGCGGATGAAAGGTGGTATAGAAATTTAATGAATAGTAACAAATTCTTCAGCATCCCCATCTTCCCCTCCCAGCTCAGCATTGTAGCTAGATCAACCCAGTTCTGCAGCGCAAGGTTGCTCTCCGAATGCCATTTACACTTCATTTATGAACCACTGACTATGCCGGTAGGGTTTTCGGAAGGCAACCTGCGTCTTTCTCATCTGCTGTTGGACTACAACTCCCATCATCCTTGATGCTGAGGTTGATGGGAATTGTAGTTCCAAAACGCAATTCATCCTCAAGACTCTGGAATATGGGCCTTAACCATTCTTTCGCAATATTAAGGGAAGTTTTAGATGGTTTTGTTTTTTCCTTCCTGGAGCAGGGAGAATTCGCAGGTCATTAAGATGATGATGATTAATAAAATGCCGCAGTTCTTAAAATAAAATAGTAATAATCAAATTTTCCCCACACTGGAAGGTCTGCTTGTACTTCCCTTTCCTAGCCCTGGTAGTTATTTGTTACATTGCTGCCAAAGGCACTGCAGCAATAATGAGCAACTGCAGCTTTTGCCGCTCTAGCGAGAAAGTCACACGACCAGAGGAGGAACTTTTGTTGTTACGCCTCTGTGGTTTCTTTGGCTAGAGAACTCTATGGTTGGCTGTATCCCAGGACCATAGAGATCGCCACCGTCGCTCAGGCCCTACAGGAAATCGAGCTCTATGATGTCATGGCCGTAGGAAGTTGCTTGAGGAAGGGCAAGATGGCGGCGCGGAGGGGAATGAGCTTCTTGTGCCGGCTGTGGAAGGTGATTGTGGCGTCCCTGGGGACAGGGTTCGGCTGAGCAGCGAGGAGGCTCCCCGGGGCGGTATAAGTGAATGTCTAAGCCGCTAAATATAGGGTGATAATCTTAAAAGCCAACGTCGGAGCTGCCTTTGGATAATATATATCTGAGCGGGAGGGATGTGTCAGGAGAGGGAGGCTGGCGAAGATGATCACCTCAGAGCTGGGCTTTTATGTCTCGCCGCCACCCTTCCTGTGGGAAGGACCACCTCATCGACGGGTCTGCTCCCGCAGGATTTTATCCCTTCCCCACCATAGGGGCCCGTGAGAAAGCGTCATACGTTGATATCGTTTGCTGTGGTGTGATGGTTTTTCTGTAAGCTGTATTGGAAAGTTTAGCATTCCGAGGTTACTGCAGCTGTAATAAATGGCAATGCATGCTGTAAATACGTATGTGCAAACTAGGAGACCCGGGTTCAAATGCCTCCTGAGCCACAAAATTCACACAGTGACCTTGGGCCAGACACTGCCAACCTAGCCTACTTTGCAGGGCTGCATTCGAGTCTTTGCAATGGAAAATTGTTAAAAGCTTTTACTGGCAATGGCTCTATGTTATTGGAATTATTAAGCACCAAAGCAACGGTCTGTTGCTTAAATGGTGATCTCTAAAACCCTTTGAGTAGCTTTGCCATTCATCTCAGTTGACATAGTAAACAAAAGAGAAAAATAGTCATTGTCACTTTCGCCTTAGTAAGTCTCCAGCACCTTTATCTGTCTTTTATCAGGCAACATTCAAAGAGGTTTTCCCAGTGACCACCTTCACACTGGAAAAATACCTATTTGCTGTGGTTTTACCTGGCTTTTCTCATATGTTTTAGAATGCATAGCACTCCCAGAATCCCAGTGGCAAACTTTATTGGTGGCTGCTTATGGACTGATGTGCGTATCTCATAGAGAAGCATGGGACATAGATGCTTCCATGTCATTGTAGCCTGGTAAGGGAAGTAGCTATGCTATTGCCCTTTCCCTCTCCTGTTGCACTGCTGCCCTTTACAGCTTTTACTACATCAGGTTCGGAATCTACTGCTAAGAAATCCCAAAAGCAGCCAGGGGGCACTGAGTGGGAAATGCTGTGCTTATGAGGGGGCAGGTTTGGCCTCAATGGATGAGCAGCAGCCCATTTAAACATGAAGGCCTTGAAGGGGATTGTGTGTAGAAGATCCAGTTATGACAGTTACAGAATACGTGAGGAATCTAGAAAGAACTGATGTGATAGTTTGTAATTGTGGACTGCCTTTTGTATGAATAATGTTCTAAATAAAGTCTCCTTTCTCATCAACTGCCCACCTTTTTAATGTATTTTAGATGGGGGTGGGCATCTAGGTATTTATTTTCTTATTTGACTAAATAAATCTGGAAAGCTGAAGTAGCTGGCCAACAATGTAGCATCATTGCTATCTTAACATACCAATCCTATATTATGTTCTTAGGGACCAGAGGCTTGCCTTTTAACAAGAAGAGTTCCACTAAAGCAATGTAGCTTTCTTCAGTAAGTTTATCACTTCCAGCTAAATTCTTAAAACACTCATTTTCTTATATTGCTCCTGTCGTGATATTATCACACACACCCCTTTTTCCTATTTCAGCAACAATCACTTGATGTGGTTTCAGTTTTCAGGCGTGCACACCAATATTCAGCAGCCCAAGGAAAAATCCCTGGTAAGTCTTGAGTTTTGAACTTCTTATATCTTGCCAGTAACTAATAAAATGTTCTGAAAAATATTGACCTCGAGATTGGGAGTACAGGTACTTTACAACTTATGCATATTGAACTTGTGCACATTCAGCTTTACATACTTGGCAAATTAAAAATAAATAAAAGGGGATGGAAAGGGGGCGGGCATCCTGAAAAGAAAATACATTGGTGTTCCCACCTGCCATTTATTCCTATGTGTTTTGGTTATGTGCAATTTTGGCTTTATGCGCTATCCCCAGAATGTAACCCCCATGTAAGTTCAAAGTCATCTTTATACAGTGGTACCTAGGTACTTGAACAGCTGGGCTCCCAAACAAATTGGCTCCCAAACGCCGCAAACCTGGAAGTGTTCCGGTTTGCAAACATTTTTCTGAAGCCGAACGTCAGACGCGGCTTCCGCTTGAGTGCAGGAAGCTCCGGCAGCCAATTGGAAGCCGCACCTTGGTTTTTGAATGGTTTCATGAGTCGAATGGATTCCTGGAAGAACCAAGGTACCACTGTATATTGATAAGGTTTAAACAATGTTGGGGCACAAAAAATGCATATAACAACTTAATTTGAACTCAATGATTTAAAACAAGACTTTAATGAACCATGCATTAAGGCTGCCAAGCCTTAAAATATGAGTGCTTCTTTGCTTATTTCTCATTGTTTTTACATCCAGGTATCTGTTTCAGATGAACCAGATGTGTTATATAAGAAACTGGCTGTCTTGGTGAAAGGTCATGACAGAATGGTGTTGGACAGTTATGAGTATTTCATGGTGCTTGCAGCTAAAGAACTTGGTATCTCCATAGAAAAAGTGTAAGTACAATTATCCGTTGTAGTTACTCAGTAATTCTAGAATGTCATTTTCTAATTGGCCCAACCAATTATCCAACTATAGCTGGATAATTGTAGATAAAAGACTTAGCAAAATTGCATCTTAGCTTAATGCTTTCAAATCTAATGGTTTCATTGACATTTGAAAAACAAGAGAGAATGCATAAAGCACACTAAAACTGTTTTATTGATTGGAAAGAATCCAGGATATCAAATTACTACCCTTATATAATTTTGAGGGCAAGTGTGGTGCAGTGGTTAGAGACAAGGGTCTGTGAGATTAAAGTTCAAAATCCTCATTCAGCTACAAAGTTCACTGGTTGACCTTCAGCCAACCACATCACAGGGTTGTTGTAAGGATAAAATATGGAGGGCTGAACCACATATGACAGTTTGAACTCATTGGAGTTAAGATGGGATATAACTGTAGTCATAAACAGACAGTTGGGCTCATTGATTCTAACTTTGGAATATGGACTATTAGATAATTTGCTTAAGGACTAGTAAATTATGCAAGACACTTTCTTGCAAATTTACAGTCCAGAAGTACAACATCTTGTGGCTGCTGTTGCTAAGAAATATATCATATTGAACAACAGTTCAATGTTTCTGAAGGTAGAAGTAACCTTGTGTTTTAGGCAATGCATATTTACTCAAAAGTATGATTTTAACTAGCAGTATTACTGTTAAGATTTTTTATAAAAAAAGTTTGTCATATTTAAATTGTTGACAAAAGTTCTTGAAGTCAGCAAGGGTTTTGCTACTGACTTTAATGAGTTTAATGAGGTTTTCCCTTGCCCATTTCCATGATCCCCCCTCCCCCAAACCTTATGTTACGTGCATCTCTTTGCATACAGCCACAAAGGCCAATCAGATGAGTTGGAGGCTCAGTTGTTTCTCTCCCTGCTCCCCACTGCTTGCCAGGCAGCTTCATTATTGAAAGCTGTCAGTGGAGTGGCTGTAATTTCAGAAATAAATGAATATACTAAAATGACCAATGATTCTATGAAAACTACTGTATCTCTTAGAGAAGAACCTCCAAAGAAGATAGAACGATTCACACTTCTAAAATCAGTGCACATATTCAAGAAGCACAGAGTTCAGTATGAAATGAGGACACATTACCGCCACGTGCAGGTGAGTGAAGAGCTGTATGTTTAAATAAGAGATGTGCTTAGCAAACAGATTAACATTTTTATTATTATTCAGGAAATAACAGCTGTCTTTTAACTATGATACACATCATACACATGCACATACATACCCGTGTGTAAAACATTAAACATAATAGGTGGTGAATAGCTTGAGAGCCATATTCAAGCCTCTAATGTTTTGACCTAGAATGGTCATAACAGTGGTATCTATATTGCTCCAAGTAGGGCTGCAGAAGCTGGGGAAAAGTAAGCCAGATACAGCCTACAGATTGGTTTCCTTTAGCACATGTCTTATTAATTGCTATGTGAAAACTAAAATACTGTTTTTGTTTCAGTTAAAGCATTTAACCGGCAGCACAGCCAATGTTTACTTGGAATACATTCAACGAAACCTACCTGAAGGGGTTGCTATGGAAGTAAAAAAGGTATTAGTGAACTTTGTTCTTGCTTCTGTAGTATAAACTCTTAGTTTTATCATTTATTGGACAAAATGGGATTTTTGCCACTTGGTAGCCTATTGACAGGGACACGGGTGGCGCTGTGGGTTAAACCTCAGCGCCTAGGACTTGCCAATCGTATGGTCGGCGATTCGAATCCCCGCGGCAGGGTGCGCTCCCGTCGTTCGGTCCCAGCGCCTGCCAACCTAGCAGTTCGAAAGCACCCCCGGGTGCAAGTAGATAAATAGGGACCGCTTACCAGCGGGAAGGTAAACGGCGTTCCGTGTGCTGCGCTGGCTCGCCAGATGCAGCTTGTCACGCTGGCCATGTGACCCGGAAGTGTCTTCAGACAGTGCTGGCCCCTGGCCTATAGAGTGAGATGAGTGCACAACCCTAGAGTCTGGCAAGACTGGCCCGTACGGGCAGGGGTACCTTTACCTTTTAGCCTATTGGCATGTCATACATGTGTTGAATTTTAGGAATAGGATTCATATAAGTATCACAGAAACGTGCTAGGATTGTTCTAGCATAAAAATAGCTGTTGCACGTGCATGATTTTTTTAACCTCATTTTTGATACTTTCTTTTTAGACAAGACTAGAAAGACTTCCTGAACATATCCAGAGACCTGTCTGGGACACACTGCCTCAAGTAGAAGAATCAACAAGTAAATCCTAAATGCCTGGTCTGAAGATCCCACCCCTAGAGTTGAAATCAAATGTAACAATGTCATTCTGTTAGAGAGAAATATACTATTTCTTAAATGGACCTGTAATGAACTAGTTTTTAATGAGCCTGCTTTTCGACCAGATTAATTCTCAGAAAAACACTCATGTTTCAGAAGAGATTGTGGACAACAGACACTTGACAGAAGTTGTGTTAATCTGTTGTTTGTGTATCATGTCTTGCTGTACAGTGGACGCTCGGGTTGCGAATGTGATCCGTGCGGGAGGCACGTTCGCAACCCGCAGTGCTGCGTCTGCACACAAATGGGTTGCGATTTGGCATTTCTGCACATGCACGACCGCCAAAACCCAGAAGTAACTCATTCCAGTACTTGCAGGTTTCGGCGGGTCTGTAACCCGAAAAAACACAACCTGAAGTGTCTGCAACCCGAGATATGACTGTACGTGGATAAAAGGTTTAAAATTATGCTACTGACACTGTTGCTTATAATCAGAATATTTACTTCAGTATGAACAGCATAATATAAAGAGGCCCTTAGCAGAGTACTGTTGAATTTGTAAACCATCTGCAACCAACTGTATTAATAACCTGTACTTCCTTCTATATAACTCTTAGAAAAGCTGTTAACAGAATACAGTGGCACCTCGGAAGTTGAACAGAATCCATTCCAGAAGTCCGTTTGACTTCCAAAATGTTTGGAAAGCAAGGCACAGCTTCCGATTGGCTGCAGGAAGCTCCTGCAGCCAATCGCAATCCACGGAACCAGCATTGGATGTTTGGGTTCCAAAGAACGTTTGCAAACCGGAACACTCACTTCCAGGTTTGCGGCGTTCAGGAGCCAAAATGTTCGACTCACAAGGCGTTTGGGATCCAAGGTACGACTGTATTTTGTTCACAATAGGGATCTTTTTATAGAGTCACTGTGTTCTACATATGAATCTTTTATGTGTACCACTGATAAGAAATGGAAGGTAACATCAGCTAGAAGGACCAGGTGTGTGGTGCCAGATATCCATAGTTCTTAGTGCCAATTACAGCTAAGGACCATGTTTGCCACAGCTTCCCCTCTACCCCCATTGATATATGGATGTTTGCTGCTACATTCACAGCACACGAAATTAGCTGTGGACGGGCACTGTGATTCATGAAAGAAGCCTGAAGCAGCCTCCTTAGTGTTTAAATCATAGAAATATGTCCTGCTTCTCTGCAAAAAACACTGGGCAACTGTAGATGTATAGTGAAATCCTGTGTCTACTTAGAAGACAGAGTTCAATGCGGCTTACTCTAAGATGATTAAATCAAGGTTGCAGTCCTACAGAGACATGGTTCAATTGCTTCGACTGAAAAAAAAAATCCCATCAATTTCAGTGCAAAGGTGCTTCTTTTATCTTCATTCTCTTTATTACCAAATGGACATTAATTGTAGTGGATAAAAAATTACCCTGTTAACCTGTTACTTAATAGGCACCAAATTCCCAAGTACTTAATGTGTAATAACCACTTCTAAAAAGAAAAGTGACCGCTTTTTTGAAAGCGAGATGAGAACTAGTCAGCTTGAGATGCAAAATGCCTAATTGCTTGAGACGGAGCTTCGATTTCACACTGCTAAGGATGATTTTGCAGGATTTATGACTTTCCTCAATTGCTGTTAGTTTTGATCCATAGTGTTAGCTATTCTTGGAGAATTGGGCATACTGCTGGAACAGTAATCTTAAGCTGATTTTTCCTTCTTAGCTTTTTTGTTGTTGTTGCTAAAGTGGAAGACCAAGCTGTGCCAAAGAGCTTGTCTTAATTAGGCCAGCCCTGAGCAGATGCTAATCTCCCACATAGAGCTTACTAATAACCACAGGATGTTTATGAAACAATCAAAAGCCTACAGAAATATTTTTAATTGGGGCACAAGCCAATCTGTTTCTCCCATGAACACACTTAATAATTTGATATGTTAATCTGCACCCCACCCCAAATATCTCAACTGCCCAGCAACCATATTCTTGTTTTACAAATCAGTGAAATCACTCAGTTTGCTAAAGCATATCGATCTCTTGGAACCAAACCCAGAATGCTCTAACCCCATAGTAGTTATTGGCATTCCTGGAAAAGATATTCACCAACCTATGAACAAGATTCATTTAACATACCAATTTTTATAAAGGATTGCATTGTTAGTCTAACTCAGGGGTTTTTTTTAATTAAAATTTTTGTTTTTTTAAAAATACGCAAAATGGATAATTTTGAGAACTGCATCTCTCCCCTTTTTCTATTTAGCTCAGGGAATCAAGTTCTTTTTTTCATTATTGCTTTGAGCAACATTTGAATAGTATTCTCTCTTTACTGAAACAGTGTTTCAAAGAAAGTTGTTTTCCTAAGAAAAAGAAAATCACAAATAGCCAACGCTTTCCTAGGTATAGGCTGTCTCTTAGCAACCAGACTCAAGGTAGCTAGGATACAGAAAATACAAAGGGAAAAAGGTTTCTACTCTGCCAGAGCACAAAAAAGACGCCTGATACAGGGATTGGTCAGTACATGATCCTACTGCCGTAAAGGCAATGGGTGTCTAGCTAGGTATCTATTTGTATTGAGAGCTCCCCATGTGGTTTGGCTCTCAAGAAACTACAGCAGGGAGACTGAATTACCAGTCATGTTTAGTTAATGGTGGGGTTACTGTTGCTCCACCCCATGTTGATGACTTTAGCCAGAAAGTTGAAAGTGCTACATATCTTCTCAGCAGCAATAATAGTGCCAGGGCAAAATAAGCCAGCTATGTATCTTGTGCCAGTTTAACAGGAGCTCCATTGGACCTAAGCAAACCATCTGACATAAGCAGCTTGAGTGCAAGAGAAGATGAATAGGGCCATAGACAAGAGCATAATGTCATCTTGAGTAGCAGTTGTTCATTTAAAGGGGTTTGTTCGGTAGGAATAGATGCTGGATTTTATTCAAATACAACTAGGATTATTCTGTAGACCTATTCATCCAATTCATCTCAGGTCAGACAGGAAACTTTATATCCACCACTGCAAGTTGCAGCATGGAAGAAAGCATGCAGTGAATAATGTATATATTCATATGAGCCATTTCCTTCTTCCCAATGATGTTAGACAGAAGAGTAGTATTTATGTACTGTATACACCTTGTAAATACTTCCATCACACAACAATCACAGTGCTTAGATACTTTATTAGTTTCTCATTCATTGACAACAAAATACATTTTTGTCTTTAAAATGAGTTGATCTTGGGATGTAATTTATTGTAATAGACAAAACATTCCTAATATATTACACACACCTTGGCTCAAGTTTGAATCAAGATCAGGCTACTGTGAAATATTTATCTACTGTGTTTCTCTCAAGGTCTGTGAAATGGTCCCTATGGAAAAAAATTGAGTTAACTGTACTTATAGAGTTACCGACAAGGGGAATAATTCAGCAGGAATTTCCTCTGCAGAGACCCCATTGAAATTAACAGGATCAGTGCAAAAATACCAAAGATGAGAGATCTATCAATGACTATTCCTCCTGGTAACAGAAACAGTATTTCTGAACGCTGGGTCCCTGGGGCAACCTACCACATTCATGCTCTGCTTATGGTTCTTAAAACATCCAGATTGTGGCTAAAATAACAATACACTGGCCTTTCTAAATAGGGCGATAGACTCTCAGAGCAACTTACAAAAGCTTCTCACAATACAATTCAAGTATAGTATCAGAAACAAAAATACCATGGAATTGGATCTAGACTAATTCTGCAATCCTATATAAATCCAGTGGGACTAACCTCTGAGTAAACAAGTGTAAGATTAGTGTTAGTTAGCTTAATTTAGTAATTAGTAAGTTTGAATAATCTTATACATGCCTATTTAGGCTGGTTTTTTTTTTAAAGTGATACAACAAATAGGAGTGGGGGGAAGATGATTATAAATTATGTGTTCAGACATCTAAATGTTGTCAATTGGCCTTACTCCCAGGTAAGTCTGGATTCAGCAAATGATGCTAAGATAATTCAAGTAGCGTGTTTTGCCCTCATCCTTGCTTTGTCTTTACTAGTATCAGCCTTTGACCATCATGTACAACATCATGACCAACAATTCCCACTGAGGACTTCTTAAGTTAAGGAAGGAGGGCCAAGCAGGTTGAATTTGCTTGGCCAATGATGAAGGCATGTGTTGCTCATATTAGGACCACATTTCCATCATTTCACTTTGCATCAGAGCACCATTACAGTTTATACAGGCACTAGCCACTAGCTCTTTCTGCACTCAGTTGCAATTCAGTGCAAGTAGAATTTTATCAAAAGGAGCAGGGAACCTCAACCTAATCTTCCTGAAAAGTTAAAATAGCTGCACTCTATGAAAACCGATACACTGTTTTGCAGGCTGTTAAGTTCACATCTGCAATGGATGTTCCCCACAGAAATATAGAAGAAAGGTCAGAAAAACAGTTTCACTGTCAAACCATCATCATCATCATCATCATCATTTTTTTTGAAAGAGGGCAATAATGAAAGCAAGTGTTACCTTAACAATAGACTTGAAATCTTCCTGCAGAGTAGTATGCTTATACACAATTCAGATGGCTGCAGCAACTTTAATACACTAGAAAGGACAATTAATTCTCAGTCTATACAAACATTTGTGCGATTGCAAGCTTCCAAACTGATTGCTTCTCCATGAACATTAAAAATCAGAAATATGTTAAGTCAGCCTGTTACTGTATTTTAAATTTCTGAACAGTAATCTCATGCAGCTTATAGTAAAAGAAAGGAAAAAGAAAAGAGGAATTCCAAGCCCCAGATCTTTAGTGCTGAATGGGATTAAGAGACAACTGAGGTACTACACCTCTGAAATGGGGTGCAAGCAGAGGGCAAAGCCAAGCTGACTATGTAACAGCATCAGAGCTGTTCCATTCGCCTTACATCCCTCAGCTATGCCAGCCTGAACAGGTGTACTGACAGAGAACACCCACACCACCTACCCTGGTTGGCATGAGCTAGCAGGACTTGGGATGGAGTGGTATGTCATACCATGCTACCTTATCATTTTGGATTGCTCTGCCCATCATTTAAGTAAATTGCCATACTAGAGCACTAAAAGTGTTTGCGTTCTCTCTTATGCTTGGGTTCATTTTCTCTCCATATCAACAGATAAAATTCAGCAATATATTCCTGCTACTAAATGTACAGGCTAGTACTGATATACTGACTACTACCAAAGCAGCTTTGCTTGCTCATTACTCTTGTCAGCAGTTGGTATAGAATAATATAGAAGAGTGAACATACTAATCCTTTTCTCCTTGCATTTTCAAACACATGGAGAACAGCAAATACTAGTTCAGTTTAAGGGGGAAATCAAGGACATGTTGTTCCTTTAACAAGATGGGCCACACTCAGTGGTATTTGCAAGCAGGCGGCCAGCTTCAATTTCTGGAAGCACCAAGTTACAGCTATCTCAGAAAACAAGTCTGGGGAAAATCTTAGGAGATCCATGGTCAGTAAGGACATTACTAGGATGGATCAGCAGGAAACCTATGAGGCCCTTTGGGCTCAGCCACACGAACTTGCCCTCCATGCAGTCTCAAGTGTGGGTTAGGTAAAGATGTATCTGTGCCAAAAGTGGGTTTGCAAGCGCCTGCAAAGCCCAGTGCACAGCCAATCTTTTGCAAGCCCCAATAATAAGCATGGCGCTTGAACCACACAGCCAAAAACAGGTCATCTGACATCATGAGGTCAGGTGACTGACAGATGGCCAACCCCACCCACCTCACAAAGTGGATCTATTATGTGTCTCTGTGTTGCAGAGATAAGGATATAGCCTGGTAGCTAGATCATTCCCCACCCCTGGACTAGACAGAGAAATGTTCCAGTTCAGTGTAAACATGGCTTTATATGTTCAAATGTTATTCTAAGTAACAGAATTTGTGTATTGCTTAGTAATTTCTGACAGTAACCTTTTCGGTAAAGATCTGCATAAAGCCCAGCTTCACTGGACACACGCCTGGTTGACCCACCATCATGTGCTCGGCAACTCGGTTTCTCCAACTGAACCTGATGAATCCCTTTTGTATGACTGGGTTCCACTAGGAGGTAACTCTGTATATTGGCCGCTAATGTTCTGAGTGAAACAGAATCGAGACTGTGTGTTGTGCATGTGCCCCACTTCAGACATGAATCAAACTCAGATGAATGTGCACTTCACTCAAAGAAAAAGAAAGTGAGTGGGGAAAATGTTTAAATACTGTCTCACCTCAAGGCCTTGATGAAAGCTCTCCCAAAGGTCTGCATGCCATCTCCCACTGGCCTCAAAGGGTGACTATGTTACCCTTCAGAAGATAACAACAGCATCATTCTTTCACCATTGGGCAACATTAGCTTACTTTTTTAAAAGTTGCAGTCAATACTGTGTTTTTAAACCAACATAAGGAACCAACACAAAACCAAAACAAAGCATCGTTGCAGTATAATGATTTAACCAAATGAATAGCATAAAGTATTTTCCAATATGTTATACACAGCTGAATTTTTCCACTTTTAAAGAATAAGATGTGAAGGCTAAATATTAGCTTTCGTGATTTATTGGGAATGTTGAGGTTCTGATCAAGTATCAATCTAAATGGGGGTTTTATTTGTTTTATAAAAGCTAAGGTTAATACATTTTGTTCAGATACCAATTAATTGGAAGCCAAGTGTTAAGAGTAGACTATAGACATCTATATAGGCTTTCATACCTCAATTTATTGCTTTTCTTCATTTTTTTTACTTTGCTTGTAGACTTTGGACCCAGTGTAGGAACTGCTTAAGTTAAAAAGTCCCAAACTGCACCAGACTGGTAAAAAAAGTTACTATTCAGCCCTCAGCACAGAAGAACACAGACCGTATTAATGAATGTAAATTTACTGACTGTGATCATCCTTGACATTAAACAGCACTGTTTCAGAATTTTACAATTTTATCTGTCATTTTAACAAGCAAAAGAAGATTTACATGTTCCATTTTTGTTAAGTTTTTCTAGTGCACAACAAAATCAAATCTAAAGTGATTATGTAATGTACAGAAATCTGTCATTTAAAACAATATGCACACTGCGGATTTTAATATAGCCTTTCATTTTATGTTTTTAATAACATCACCAGTTGTAATTATACAATAGGTCAAATGTTTAGCCATGTACTACACTTAGTTATTACGTGCTAGAAATTTAAACACCAAGGTCAAGCTGAGTAACAGAAACAGTAATTAAAAATTTAAACAAAGTCCATAAACTTCTGTTCATTTATAATTTTTTTCTCTATTTCTTAAATTAACATCCACAGTTTGTTTTATCCATTACATTTTGTGCATTGCTTATATTTCCCCACATGATACAGAATAATTGCCCCTTTGAAGTAAGAGGCATCTTGATGAATTTATTGTTACCACATGTAAGTCCATTTGAAACCAGAGTTCACAAGATTAAGAACAAACAAATACATGTTACTGAAACAGATCAAGATGTATTTCCAAAAAAAGAGCTGCACACAAGTTAATTGAATATTAAGTTAAAGCTTGACCTATTCTTAAGATATGTTTCTTTTAACTTTTAGTGTGCAGATGCCAAGGTCCACAAACAACAGGCTTCAAAAGGATATGCTTGAAAGTGTCCAAGGAGTCACAGGTCTTTAGGATATTTTTAAAAAATATATGGCTTTTACCAACTTGGTGCATAAGGGCTGCTGGAAAAATATGGAATATCAAGCACTCTGTTATTTTCTTTGCCTTCTTTAATGCTTTATAGGCATTTCAAATGGTCTTAAGGGAAAAAGGATGTATCCCAGCTACTGAATTTAAAGAATAAGCCTCGTTAATAGTATCTGCCACCTGGCGGCCCAGGCCATCTCTGGCCCCGCCCAGGTGGCGGAAGGGCTGGTGCACCGGGTCCACTGGGAAAGCTGTATAAAAGGATAAAATCATAATTGTTGTTTTCCCCCCTTCTCAAAAGAGTTCCTTTTTAAAAACAACAGACTTAAAACCCTACATTACAATTTGGGAGAATGCTTCCAACATGCATATTTAGAAAGCTTCCAATGTGGTTAAATATTATGCTAACAATAAGTTCTGATTTTTTAAGTCTACGTGATAAGCCTCGTTCTGAATACTTAACCCTCCTTAAGTTTTAAACATTGTTACATAAAATTCTTTAAGTAAAATGAGCTAAAAAAGGGAGTGGGAAAGGAATCTTACCTGCCTGGAGGTGGGAAACGGCCTCGTGGCCATGGCGGCATCCCTCTGCCTCTGGGGGGAGGAGGAGGTATTCCTCTGAAGCCCATTGGTCCAGGTGGTGGGGGAGGTGGAGGTGGGGGAGGAAGCCCAAAACTGCAGAGACAGACCCAACTGACCGTCATCATATGACAACTAACCCAGTTATATATCATGTAACTATTAGTTTTGTTTTCCCTGCTTCAGACAGGCATTTACTTTAAATAATAATAAAAACATACCATATTTCTCCGTCTATAAGATGCCCCAATGTATAAGACACCTCCTACTTAAGAAAGGGGGGGGGGAGATGGCCCCTGTGTACAAGACCCCCCCCCCAATTTTGGACATTATTTTTTAGGGGGGAAACCCAGTCTTATACACAGAAAAATACGGTAATTTTTATTAGAATTTGCTCATTCATTCAGTTTACATTTTGCCATTCCTCCCAAAGGAGCCCAGGACAGCAATCATATCGATAATAAAACATTTTTAATCTAAAAATTGTGCTTTCAGAATTGCCAGGAATAGTTGCATGTTTTAACATATTTTCTCCAAATTTCAGATGAGTGTGTGTTCACAAAGAATTAGATAGACAGACAGACAGATAGATATGGGGGGGGCGGCGTGATTTCTCCTTGTATGTACAGGAATGCTTGATCTAACTCAGTAGCTCTCAATCCTAGACTTATCTGATTAGCATCAGCTTTCTTGAGGTATATTTTACAACCCCAAATCTTTCCAAAGAAGCACTCCTGATATTGAGTCACATACAACCTTTCGGTTGCATAACTTAGATTCCAAAAAAACATCAATTGCAGTGTCATCTCCTCAGTGGAAAATCCCCAAAACTTGATCTCCAGCTCTTGAAACTTTTTTTTTCTTTGTGGACCCTCACACAACCAATTCTATGGAATTTGACAAGAAAACAGGGTCTTGTGAATTTTGCTTGCAGAAAGCCCCAAATTCTGCAACTAATGCAAATTGCATATATAAAACATATGGCTAGGTGAATCAACCCCAAGCACAGCCCTGCATTACCCAAAACTACAGTCACTGTTTTTCAATATATTTGCAGTTAACCTCAATACTAACCATGGTGGGGGTGGCAGAAAAGGCACTCTCATCATTCCTCTCCGAGGAAGAGATGGCGAGAAGAGAGGTCCGCCTCGTCCTCCTCTTCGCCCTCTTACATCTGAATATGGGCGCATTCTTCCCATTCCACGTCTACAAAAACAAGAACTTTTCAGCACCAATCTAAAAGCATGAGCAACTCAGCAATTCTTAATAAAGAGACAAAAGTCCAGGTTTGCAAATGTGCAGGCTCCTGGAAAAGAGCTTGCAGCCATTTTGGTCCTTTCCGGTCCCTTTTGCTCCTAAGCCACGTGTGAGGTAAGTCAAGGTTTGGCTTAGCTGATCTTCTGAACACAAGCTGATGATTAAGTTCTAACCACATTCTTGGTTACAGCACAACATATGAAGCTGTCTTATTCCATAACCAAGGGTCAGGAATAAGAGGGGCTACAGTCCAGTGACATCTGGATGACCCCATTTTGGCTACAGCCTGAATGGCAGTCACATCCCGGAGTTTCAGGAGCCTTTCCCAAGCCCTACTTGGAAATGCTGGAAGTTGGACCTGTGACCATCTGCAAGCAAGTGCAACACTCATTTCAGTAGGGGAAACGTACCTGCATGCACATCCCTTTAAGCCTGCAAAACCATCACAATTTGAACTGCAACTGTGTATTAAAGCTTTACCAGTTAGGAAGTTTGCACCCTGAAGTTAATGTGTACAACATTATACAATAAGTAAATAATGTACATTAGGTAAAAAATTGAAAGATTACCTTATCGGCCCAAAGCCATTCAGTGATCTGCCTCGCATTTTTCCTCTAGTATAGCCTCTGCCACCTCGGCCTCTTCCCCGACCTCTTGGGCCTCTGAGCATAACAAAGGAGAACATATGAAATTCTGACCACTTTCTTTGGTTTAAGAACCACAGACCAATTACTATGGCTAGGGGTGCCCACAGGATTTTTCACACTGTATGTAGATTAGGCCCTCTGCCCTACCCATAAAAGAGAACACAAATTTGCAGCAAACTTGCAAATATTTTGTGCCATATGGAAAGCTGTATCCTCCTTTAGCAAGGGTCAAAAGTAACCTGTGGGCCACACAGAACTAACTAACAAGACAGATGAAGTTCTTTGCAGAATTGCATTTCCATACTAGAAGTCTTAACCCACTGAATTTGTGATTTCCTCATAGCTGTGGCACATGAGCCTGTTCTCCCTTCCTAAACCATGCACAGAAGCAGAGTTGCATGGGCTGTCAACCTAGTGTTGCCATATGTCCGGAATTTCCCAAACATACTGTATATGGAATACTGCAAATATACAGAAAATCTGGAAGTATGGCAGCCCATGTTGGCAGTGCAGTTTTTCCATAAAACTAGCTCAAAAATGGCTCACAAATTTGCCCCCCACCCTCCCCCAAAAGAAAAAAGCTCAACAACTTTCCTTTCCGGATTTTCAGTTCAAAATTTGGCAACCCTATGTCACTCGAAATCTTTCATCAATTGATCTTACCTGGTAATGCTGCATTGTGCCTAGTACCAGTCATGCTCAGAGTAGATCCACTGACAGTAATAGTCAGAGTTAACTTCAGTGAATTAATTTCTATCAGTCTACTCAAAGTAAAATTTAGTTGGATACAACCCACTATGTTAGTACATGACCTAGGGCACTTAGTTTCAGATTACATATATGTAAAAATATACACAAACCCAATGGAAGGGGGGGATGACTGCTTACAATCCCAGTACATATGTACTTGCAACTCAGGATAACACTTAATGCAGCTGATGAACATGAAAATATACATATATGTTAAGGTGGTATTCAACCAAATTTATTCAGAGTAGACCCACTGAAATTAATGAACACAACCAAGTTATTTCCATGAATTTCATTAGAACTACTCTAAGAAAAACTTAGATGAATACCACCCTTCAAGATGCCATAAGACTCTTTCTAGTTTTTATAAAATATTTTTCATTGTTTAAATATGACATTTAACAACATCAGCAACTTAGGAATTATGTCTCACCTTTTTTTTGTTTCAGTCACTTGTATGTTTTCTGGAGCAGATTCAGGCTGATCCATTAGGTCTTCAGCTCCTTCTTCCATCTATTAGAAATACTGGAAGGGAAAATAAAGTCATGTTTCAACATAAAAGTTTAAGAATCAAATTTGCCCTAATGTAATTTTGGAGGTTTCCAGCAGAGTCTGTTAAAAATAGTTACCAACAATTATGCACCATCTTATTGATACAAAGAGAAATATCAAAGCAAGTCTTCTAGATAATCTTACCCAAGTCTGTGCCTTGTACCATACGATGCAACTATGAATACAGTTTCAAAACGAAGATGTCAGAAATAGGCAAGGCTGCTGGGCCAACAGCAGGGGTGGGGAACTGGATCCAGCCAGCCAGAGGGCCAGCCCTCCACAGGCAACTTTAATTGGTGGGCACCCCTGCCCACCTATCAATCACAGGACATTGTATGATGTCAGGTGATTCTATCTATAGATCTTCCCTTGCAGCCACAGCTTGAAATCAGTTGCAGTGCAGACAGGCAAAACAGCTCATTTTTTATCTTGTAAAGGAAGAATCAGGAACACAACCATCGCAACATCTGCTACTTGAACTTTCCTAAATCTGACATCATATATGACTTCAGATGGAAGAAAGGTGGATGTGACTGGCCTGGTCAACCATGAGGCTTGGGAGACGTAATGAGACTCATGAGCCACTTCACATTGGCCAACAGGAAAATTCCACCACCACTCTCAGTGAACGCATGGAAAGGTACTGGTGTAGGCACTACTATCGGTAACACAGAATCAGAGAACAATAGTCCCCTATCAGAGAAGAGGGGAACATGAACCACACATCTCTCTTTTAAGAAATTATTCTTTGCATTCTATTAAGTATTGCTCAAAGATGGCATGTATCATGAAACTGACTAGCACAGTAGTAGTACAAGAGGGTAGGAAAGTGGAAAATGGAGTTTACTCATTATACATTAAAACAATAAAGCTTTAGGCTTTGTTCAAGACAATTTAAAGGTATTTTGTTGTTGTTTAGCAAAATTTAAAACAGATTACTTAGATTTCTTGTTGTTAGGGATATAGCAGAAGAAATGGGCTTGAAGGATTCCTATTAGCAGAGGCCGGCACTTTTGGTTACCCTAAAATTTTCCATTCCAGTGGTCACTACAAGAATTCTCTAACCAAGAACAAGTTTGTGGTTTCCTCATCCCTCCGCATCCCTTTTTCTTTTTGTGCCATTTATTTTCAATTAAAAGTCTGACATTTCTAAGCTGCTCTGGAAGCCTTTTCTTCAGCTGAAGAGCTGGCCAAAGGGGTTTTAAATAAACTACGTTGCATATTTTGCTGTATTTTATATTATATGACCTTTTTTGTATAACTTGCTGTAAACTTCTGATTGATGTTTTAAACTAATTCCCACCCCCCCCATCAGTCTGGCTCTGTTGATCTATTGTTTATCAGGCGGATATTTTAGTTCTAAAAAGGTTTGCTGTAGATCTCTTAGGTGAGAATCTCTGTCTGTAGAGTTGGAACAGATGCGGCTGCAACGTAGGGCCTGGATTGTTTGGGATGGTAGCTAGAAGCATGTAGATACTGTATATTTGTTGGTCAGTTGGTTTACGGTATAAGGTGGTTGTCTATAGGCCCATCCTGTATTTTTATAGTAGTGTCCAAAAATTCTGGCTGGTTCCCCTGAGGGAAAAGACGCAGCAGGATCAGGCCTTTTATGCCTGACCCAGCGAGGCAACGGTTATACAGTATATGCTCCAGGCGCGCGGAGGAGAAAACGAGGACGGAGCAGAAGCCGCGGAGCGAGGGAGGACTTACCCGGCTCGACGCTTTGCCAAACGGCTGACAGAAACAACGTCGCGGCCGCGCCGAAAGGGGTGGGAGGAGAAAGCCGCCTCTCCTCCTCTCGTCTTTCTCGGGTTCAGCCCACAAACAAAACGCTTTTCAAAATGGCGCCTCGGCGAAAGTCTCAGGAGAGCGAGCGAGCCGCGAAGCCACGCCCCCCCAGCAGCAGGAGTAGCCCGGGGAGCAGGGCGGCGCTTAGTTTCGGCAAGCAGCTGCCGCAGCTTGGCCCCGCCTCCTCTACGTCCAAGTTGCGTCAGCGGCCGGGCTGCGATCGCCGCAAAGGATTCTGGGCACTGTAGTCAGCCCCCTCAGAGTTACAATCCCCAGCGGGGATCAACGAACCCTAGAACTGTCTCAATAATACGTGTATTAAAGAGAGCATTCAACGAACAGGGGTTGGGGGTGGATAACCGATATGGGCTGCGATTCTAAACACATTTACTTGCCAGCAAGCTCACTGGGACCCCATGAAACTTCTGCGTAAAGGTGCAAAAAAGACCCCTAACTATAAGCCCTTACATGCCAGGTACCAGCCACTCCTCCTCCAGGAGGAGCCAAGGAACCCACAGCAGATTCAGCCCAGCCCACTGTCGTAAGCGGCGGACTTGGGGGGCCGTAAAGCGGCAGGGGAGGAAATCCACGTGGGAAGCAGAGCAGGAAGTTCGACAACATGGGGAAGAGGAAAGCTCGCCGGCAGCAGCAGCTGATCAGCAGCTTGAGTAAGAAGCAGAAGAAGCACCTGAAGGATTTCGGGGAGGAGCACCCATTCTACGATCGGTGAGCGGGGCTTGTTTGAATAGCGTCTAAGGTGAAAGGTGAAGGATCTGTTTGCTGATGAGGCTTCTTGCCTGCAACGATTTCCCTACAGTAGCCTTCCCTGAGTCGGCGCTCTCCTGGTGTTGTCGGACTACGACTCCCATCGTCCCTGGTAACTGGCCCTGCCGGCTAAGGGTGATGGGAGTTGGAGTCCAACAACGTCTGGAGAGCCACAATTTCCCCATCCCTCACATAGACTGAATTGCTAAGGCAGACTGCTCCGCGGATTTTGGCTGTCCTAAATGCCCTTCTCCCCACTCCTGCAGCATTTTCAGTGATCCATAGCTGAGTATATGTTTTCATTTTTCAATGGCCTTTGCTTCCTTTCTTCCTGTGTCTCCATCTCTCACAACTGATAGAGAGCAGAAAGTTTTTAGTTATCTGTCCCAGAATGCAGAGGATATTGCCTCCCCAGTCAGAGGCAGTCCAGTCAGCATCCATCTGTATTGGGAGACAATGGAGGAATGCACCTATGGGGCTGACAGCAAATTGTTGGAAGGTTACAGAGCCTGTAGAAGGTTACAGCTGTAGAAACCAATACTGGAGAGATAAGTTTTGTTGCAGTTGGGGCAGATGAAGGTGTCCGGTTGTGCTGCTGCAGATGCACCATTGTGTTTCTTCTCTCTGGGAACCGCAGGAGAGGAGTGCTGTTGTGAACAGATACCACTTGCTGGCTTCCCATGGGCATCTGGTTGTGATCAAGGCCCTGTTCCTCATAGTGTGCACGCTTATCCCACACTCAACCTCTGTTCACTGTTTTTGCATGGTTCTGTAGTGCTTCGAAACCCCGCAAACACTACAGTTTGACAGGAGTGAGCAATGGGGCAAAAGAGTTGTGCGATCCACCACAAATCTTTTAGACTGCCGTTGTATGCACACTTACCAGGGGCTAAGCCCCATAGAGCTCGGTGGGGCTTACATCTGACTAAGCATGCTTATTAAAAGCTATTGCTTATACCCAGTATAACTGTATTGCTGGGCTCCTCCTCTCCTTTCCAATTATTCAGTGCCAGATTCTCCACAATGTATTAGGTGATGCAGCAGCAATAATAATCTGGGACTGGTGCTTTTTTTCCTTCAGCCATTTGGGGCACTGAAAGGACAACGCACTTGGGATGGTTTGATCACAGCTTTCTGTAAAGTTTCCTCTTTTTCGAAAGGTGCAGTTCAGCTTTGAGCCATCAGTGATCTCCTTCCAGCTCCCAGGTGGTGTCCACATAGGTGTGCAAAGGCTGCACACAGTAGAGTGATGCAAGCATTAAGGAACTCTTAAAATATTATTGTCTTTTGGAAATCTCTTGTTGTTCTGGTTCCAATTGTAAGTTGTGATGGGCAGCTATGTGCAGTAATGCTCACATCTTCTTGTGCTAAACTCTCCAAATATTAAAAGCCACACACCATTTTGGTTATTTTTAATTTGCTTCTTCAATCTATCTATCAGTCGCTAAAGATAATTTAAATTCAAATGGTTTCCTTTTAGGGTTTCTGGGAAAGAAAAACCAACTCAAATCTGTGAACTGGTAAGAGTGACCCTACCTTTTTTTAAACATGCTTCTTTTTATATGGATAAATTAATGGGAAATGCTAATGCATGAAAACTGACTAATTGTATTAACACAGTTAGTTCAAATTCTATAGCACATCCCTCCTTACTGCCTTTGCTGTTTCCATCCCTGGTTGGAGTGCAATTCGATACCTCAGTGTGGTGCTAATAGTGCCAATGTTGCAGGTTCGATCCCTGTATAGGACAGCTGCATTGTATTGCAGAGGTTCGGGCTGGATGATCCTCAGGGTCCCTTCCAACTCCACAATTCTATGATTTTATGTGTCTGCTTTAGCGCCTGGTATTTTACCCAGAATTTAGGCTTCAGCATATCTTGTTGGACTCCACTCACATCACCCTCAGCCAAGCACAGCCAGTGGTCAAGCATGGTAGGGATTGTCATCCAACAACATTTGAAAGGCCACAGGTTCCCCATTCCTGTCCTAGCACTTGTGACTTCAGAGGAAAGCTTGCAAATCTGAGAATCTGAAAAAGCTGGGGAGGGTTTGTGGAAGCTTGCAGTAATAACAGAGTAGGACTTCAGCAGTCCCATCCTCTGGCTCCAGCTCATTCTCTATCCCTGCCCCAACCCATCCCGCTTGCACAACACATTTCTGCTGTTGCAAATGGGAATTCCTTTCCCTCCTTCCTGCAGCTCCCCACAAGCCCCAAACATCTGCTCCAGTGAGTTGAGGGATACCCTAGAGCAGATAGGGGTGCAGGGGAAGAAGAGAAGTACCGTCACGGCCCGTGGCGTGCCATTGGATCTCACCCATAAGTTGGATTTCTTAACACTTGAAATATTTATTAGCAGTTTAAGTCCCATGATGAGGCCTGAATCCCTATTGGAAGGGATGCAAGTGGTCCACATCAGTCTTCTCCAACCTGTTGCTTTCCAGATGTTTCAGGCTACAGCTGAACACAGCCAGGAGTTGCCCATCTTGAGGGCACCATCTTGTAGAAGGACAGTCTACATGCATGAGATCCTAGGTTCAATCACTGGCATTACCAGTTAAGAAGGAAACCCCTCAGCCTGTGAACTTTGGAGGGTTGCTGACATATAAAAGCTGGATTTGGATAGAATAGTATAGAAGGTAATACTAGGCTCAGCATCCAGTGATCAAAATCTGTACCAGTATGTTTGTATTATATGTCCTGGGTTATTTTTTCCCCATTTCTAGTCAGACACTTCTGAGCAGTCAAGCTCAGAAAGTGACACAGAGAATGATTCTGAACAAGCCTCAGTATATCACAAGTTACTGGCCACCTTAAAAACTGCTCCATATTCGGACAGTGAGGATGATGAAGATGAATCAGAAGGAGGAAGCAACAAAGGTGATGCAGAAGTGGGCAGTGATGATGAGTACGAAGAAGATGAGGGAGAAATGGAGGACAAAGACAATGACAGCAATGCGCCTGACCCCCCAGAATCAGGTAATCCAGTGCATCTCAAATTCTGTGAACCACAGCTCTCGTACAAATACAACCTACGACTCTTCTTCTTTTTGATCTGGCATAGATCAAGAAGCACCACTGCAGAAAAACAGCCAAGAGGAAGCTGGAGATCCAGAGGCTTCTAGCGACCTAAAACATGAAGCTACTGAAGAATTCACAGACGTGCAGCACGAATCTGAGTTTAGCCTGGAAACCAATTTCATAGAAGAAGAGTGTGGTGATCCTTCTGCAGATGGGAAAGAAAGCAGTGGTTCTGCAGATATTGCAAAAGGTAAAATGCATGGTCTTTATATTAAATGTTTGTTGGGTGGGGGAGAGTACCTACATACAAGCTTCTTGACATCTCAAAGGACTGCCTTCACCTCTTTGGACCAGTCTGAGCCCTGTGGTTGAATTTGGAGGCCCTTTTCATTGGCATGCCACTAAGGCCAATTAAACTGGCAGACACTAGAAACAGGTCCTTTGCAGTGGTGGCCCCTGCCCAATAGAACTCCCAAGGAATGTGTGATTGGTCTCATCTGTACCTGTTTCCAATGGCTTTAAATTAAGAGGATTTTTATTATGGTTGTTACTGTTTTTTAGAGTCTTGTTTGGATTGCTTATTGAAGTTTTGGTGATTTTTATGCTTTTATGTTTTAAAAGGTTTATTAATCCTGGTTACTGCTTGCTGGATTCTTGATACGTTATATGTAATATATATTATTGTATTGTATTATATAATTAGAACTGTGATGGTCTTGGTTATAGGTTCATATGTTGCTGCCTAGGGGAGGACATTATTCCTTAACATGGCCTAAGAACCTTGAGAAATTGATTTAAAGCAGATCTGAGCAGCTGATGAGCCATAGAACCCGTTGCCTTCCACCTGAGGTCAGATGAACCTCCTCTTTGTGCTGCCTGATTAAAACTACACAAAGAAGAGTTTGCCATTGCATCTGGCAAATTGCACATAGCAAGCTGCATTTAACTTAAGAGGTCATCAATTGTGCAGATCAGACTTGAACACTAATAGCTAATTTGTTTTTTATTGTCACTAAGTTCAGTTCTCTGGTGGTGGAAAAAATCTCTTGCCATTCCTTCTAAAGCCTGCTTGGGTTTGCCAAACCTCTTGAGAATGGGTGTTCCTTTTTTGAGGAATGACAACTGTTATGGTTCCAAGGGGTTGCTCGAGAGCAGGCAGGCAAATACCTCCCTGCTCGGCTGTGAAGCCTTGCTTTTGATGCCAAAATAAACTTTATCTGTCCAGAGTGCCACTCTCCCGTGGCTGGCTCATTCACTGGCAGAATCCGTGAGTGGGCGGTCCTTAAACCTTCCCCAGCAAAGTAATTTCTTGATGCCCAGTCTGTGCCTCCCCTCTTAGCATGAAAGCTTATTGCACAAGGAGGGCGTGGGTAACGGAGGACCTCTCTCCTCCCCACTTTGCCCAGGCAAGGTGTCCTGGCACCTCTGAGCCCTGAAGCTCCTCTCCACTGGAGGCGTGGTTACTCTCCTCCGCTGAGAAGGAGCTGCTTCCCACGATCTTTGGGGGCTCTCTGTCATCCATCCGGCTTTTCCTCTCTTCCCCCTTGAACCAATGGCAGTTCCCTGACAGCAAGGTTTATGTGTATGCTCATTGTAGAACAGAGGTGTACTGCACCGACTGAGGCAGATGGGAGCTGGAGTCCTACCACATTGGGGTGAGGCAGAAGTTCCCCTTTAGCCATGCTGTTGTTTTCTGTACTGTAGAATTGCCTTGTCATGCCAGATTCTTTTATGATTACATTCTTCTTCTTTTACTGTTTGATGTAGCATTTGAGATCTCTGACAGACGTCTAACAAATTCATAATTGTGATAGCAATTTCCTCCTTCTGATCAGATTTCTTTTAAAAATGTGTAGAGCAGAGTCTAGTTTTCATAACATTGTTTTTATTTCTCCACACAGATCCATTTAAGTGTCATGTTGAAGAAGAACTGGAAGAAAAACAAATAGATAAAATTCTTGCATGCTCAAAATCTACCAGCCAAGTCAAGGTAATAATGTACATTTATTTCATATTCACTGTGGTTGGTTTCTATTCCTTATTTGGTTCAAAACTTGCTAACTGATCTCTGAATGTGTTGTGCTCATCCCCTGTAAAAAAAGAGAAATAGGGTCTTTTACAGCGTATCTGAGACTATTAACAGGAGTTGTGTTTAACCTTATGTTGTGTTTGTTTCTTCTTTCTAGTGGCCAGCACTGGGTCAGTTAGTTTTTTCTTCAAAATTGGAGAAGTTCGGAATGGTTAAGCCAGACAAAGAAGTTGATTTGAAACGGCTTCATCTTCGAAAGCCTTTAGGATCTGCTTGGCCTAAAGTCAACAGCCCATTCCTTTCCACGCAGGTGAAATCAAAAGATCAGCCATTTACTCTACTGCAGAAAGAGCTTTTCTGCATCATGAATTCATACAAGGACTTATTCTACCCAGAGAGGACTGCTTTAAGCAATGGGGAAGAAGTCCGTCAAGTCTACTGCCTGCATGCCCTGAACCACGTCTTGAAGGCAAATGCCCAAGTACTTGGCAATAATGCCAAGCGAAGGGACCAAAAACCTGGGACTGACGATGATTGCTTCAGAGATCAAGGACTCACAAGACCAAAGGTGAAAGGACTTCCTTAATTTGTCGTTATTGCATGGAAAACATGCCTTGGTGTATGTGGTATTCCCTAAACAGAGCTGCCATTGTACAGTAAAGGCGTCCCTTCCAATCAGCCTATGAATCCCTGACCAGTAGGGGAATTATTAAATCTCTTACAACTTGGAAACTGTAAGGTGCCCATGCTTGGCCTACTGTCCATGAGTCCATAATCATCATGCAATAAGACTTCAATTGATTCCACCCAACAAGGTTGGCCTCCCCCAATATTTGCTTCTCTTGTATAGCAAACGATTGACCAATTTTCTTTTTGGACTTGAGTAGAAAACGTTAGTGGAATCTCCAGGCTCCAGGATCTATTCCTTGGAGGATGTTTAAATCTTGTATCATAACACTGGGTATGGTTTTTGTTTGTTTGTTAGATCTTCATTTTAATGCTCAAATGACAGGGACAGGGAGTTTGATAATGAATGACATTGTTCAGTATATCCCATGGAGAATGCTCCTTTTTTCTGTATAGTTATCTAGAACTCTCTCATTCATATATATGGACCCAGGTATTTACTGAACTGCCTTCTCAAGCAGTAATCTGCCTGCTCACTGAGATTATCATCTGAGACCATTATCCAACCCAACACCACTGAGGATAAAATGCCATTTCATTGGTGGCTCCTCACCTTTGTAATGCCATCCACAGGGAGACCCACCTAATGCCCTTATTACTGTGATTTAGGCACCAGGCATTTTTTTCTACTGTTTTCCCATGCTTCTTAGAACGGTAAATTTTAACACTTACAACTTTGAACAGCTCTGATTTCCACTGGACTGTTTGAACAGACAATTGCTGTTTTAGTTTGTTGTGCTAGTTATTCTCATTACAATATTTTTCCCTATTTTTCTACTTTGTTAGCTGCCCTGGGTACAAAGATAAATTTATGTTGTATGTTTGGTAGGATATAAATTCTGCAAATAAATATGTATTTTAAGGAGTGTTCAGTCAGCTAAAGCTAGATGAGGGGCACATATTTTTTTAAATGGCTAGCCCTAAATACCTACAATATAGCATCTCACTCTCTGTGTGTCTTCTTTTGAAAAATATGTCTTACTCAAAATAGATTTGCTTCTGCATTTCCCTGCATAGGTGTTGATAGTGGTGCCCTTCCGGGAATCAGCTTTACGCGTGGTGCAGATTTTCATCAGCCTCCTTGAATCGACAAGTCAAAAGAAAATTGATGTTAGTAACAAAAAGCGGTTCAAGGGGGAGTTTGGCTCAGATCCAGAAGAGAAACCGCCCAATCTGAAAAGGCCAGAAGATTATGAAGCTGTCTTTGCTGGGAACATTGATGACCACTTCAGGCTAGGTACTGACATTTTAAGATCAGTCCTTTTTTGTTCTAAAAAATAGTTCAAAGCATTAAGCATGTTTTACAAGTTTAGGGTTGTTTTTTTTGAATGCTCAGTGGAAGCCCACCATATCTCCAAAATAGTATTCGATTTTTTGCGTTGATGTTTTTTTCTTGGTAAAGCCAACACTGTCTTGTTTTTAAATGTAATTCTCCCTCTTACCATTTAGACTCCTTAGGTAAAGGTAAAGGTACCCCTGCCCGTATGGGCCAGTCTTGACAGACTCTAGGGTTGTGCGCCCATCTCATTCAAGAGGCCGGGGGCCAGCGCTGTCCGGAGACACTTCCGGGTCACGTGGCCAGCGTGACATCGCTGCTCTGGCGAGCCAGAGCCACACACGGAAATGCCGTTTACCTTCCCGCTAGTAAGCGGTCCCTATTTATATTCTTGCACCCGGGAGTGCTTTCGAACTGCTAGGTTGGCAGGCGCTGGGACTGAGCAACGGGAGCGCACCCCGCCGCGGGGATTCGAACCTTTCGATCGGCAAGCCCTAGGCTCTGAGGCTTTTACCCACAGCGCCACCCGTGTCCCTCCTTAGGGCTGCTTCATTTATAGGAAAAACAACAAGGAGTCACTTGGCACCCAATTTATTATGACATTTTGTGGAGTACAGTCCATTTCATCAGATGCAGGAGTTGCAGGTGTGGTTTGGTGTGTAGTGCTGCAAACAGTGATTTCAAAAGAAAAAGATAGCACAAAGTGCCAACCCCACTACTTTGTGTATGTCATTTGCTTTAGATCTCTCTGTTTATAATCTTCCACAAGCCATACACACCCACACACACACCTGCAATATTTTTACCAGTCGCCAGTGATGTGGGTTTGCTGGGGAAACAATTCCAGTGCCCAAAAATGATTTAAATGTGGTTTAGCATGTTTGCTTTCTGATTAGTTAGTATGCGGTAATAATGTTTTACAAAGCATGCAGTGTAAATTTTATACACTGAATAACGATCTCTAATTTTTCCGCAGTTGCCAAAAGTATTTGTATGGAACAATTTCCTTAGTGGGGAAAAAATAGTCAAGTGCAATTCATGCAGCTTAGATGTTTCATTTAAAGCCTTACAGATATTATCGAAATACTTGAAAATATTTAAGACATTATAATGACAACACCAAAAACTGTTAGCATTCTAATTTCAGCATGCTGAAAAAGCTGTACAATTATATTGTATGTGCGTGCATGCATTTATGCTTTTTTACAAATAGTACTCTGAAAAACGTACATTGCAACCTTTAAACTTTCCCAGTTTCACTAACAGCATATTCGTTCATCTTGTTACTACGTAATTTTGAGAAACAATGCATTTTCAGAAATGGACACTCTTTTTCCATGGAAAATTCCATTGCGTTGCAAACAGTTTGCATGGAAAATTTGATTGCAGAACCATTTTTTAAAAAACAACAACAAAGGGCTCAAGCTTGGCCCTGCTTGTAACATTGAGGCAAATGCACAAGCTGGACCACATTGTGCGGGTTGGATGTGATTCAAAACAATTGGTGCTTCAGAATTATGGATGAAGCTGCCGCTACTTAATTGTCTTTCATGCTCTCCTTCCTCTGCTTGAGACATTGCTGCCAAGCGGAGTAGACAGTACTGGCTGAGATGGGCCAGTGGTCTCATTCGGCTATAACTCAGCTCAGTGGAGGACCTTATATCCTGCTCCTTTTTGTTTCTTTTAAACTGCTCTCATCTCCCTTGTCTCTCTATGGCAAGATTGACTTAAGGTAACAAAAATGGTAGGGAGATGCAGGCTAATTCAGAATCTCACTGAGCATCAGCACTGAGAGCTGTACTGGATATATAGCTCCAGCAGCTACGGGCCCAGCCACACTGTGCAGGGTTGAAAAGTAGATGCCCTGGTGTATTTCCTCGCTGCCACCTACTTCTGCCTAGGAACTGCATCACTTGTCCTTCCTCCTCAAAAGTGAAGAAGAGGTGGATGTGGACTAATTTGGAGCGCACAAGAAAACGCTTTGCACAACCATGGGAAGACGTGCTCAATATGGAGAAATTGGCAGGGACAGAAGCGGTATGCTGGCTGTGTCTTGTGCTGCTTTTGGTCCAGTTGTGCCTTTACCCTGCACAAAGTTGGACCGTGCCCTGGTTTTTCAGGAGTCAAATTCTTAGACACAGAGAGTGTGTCCCCCTCTTCTCAATCAGCTGGTTGTTGCGCTGTGCAAAACAGGAAACCTGTCCATTGGTCCTCTGTGGCAGTGCTGTGATCTTTGGAATACGCTTGAGATCATCTTCTGAGGTCCTCCTTTATGTGCCTCCTCCTTGAGAGGTCCGCAGGGTGGCAACACGAGAACGGGCCTTCTCTGCAGTGGCTCCCTGTCTGTGGAATGCTCTCCCCAGGGAAGTTTGCCTGGCACCTTCATTATACACCTTTAGTCACCAGGCAAAAACGTTCCTTTTTAACCAGGCCTTTGGTTGATCTGATTGATATCCTATGCCCTTTTAAAATGAGACCCCTGGGTATAGGGTGGTATAAAAATTCTAATAAAAAAAATTAAATTAATATTAATAATAATCTGTGCCATGCCTTCTCCTTACAAACTGGAAAGTGCCCAGGGAAGAAAGAAACTAGGATAGTGAAGGGTCTGGAATCCATTACCTATGAGGAACAGTTGAAAGAGTTGGATGTGTAAAGCCTGGAGAGATGATTAAGGGGTTTTGTTGTTGTTTAGTTGTCTTAGTCATGTTCGACTCTCCATGACCCCATGAACCAGAGCATGCCTTGGAAACTCTCACTTTCTTCTCGGAGCTTCTCCTTTTTTATATCCATGAAGTTTTCTTGGCAAAATACTGGAGTGGTTTGCCAGTTCCTTCTCCAGACGGGGTTGTTAGCAGTCTTTAAATATCTGAAGAGTGATCACACAGAAAATGGAGAAGACGGGTTCTCCATTGCTGCTGAAGCCAGGACTTAGAAACATTCGGAGAAGCTTCCAGATGATAAAAGAGCTATCTGAGGATGGAACAGATTGCCTTGTGTGACGGTGGTGGACTTTTATTTTGCTGGAGGTGTTTAAACAGAAGCTGGGCAGCCATTTATCAGGAGTGCGCCCTGCATTGCAGATTCTTCACTGAGCAGCGCATTGGACTAGGTGAATTCCCAGGTCCCTTCTAACTCTACACTTCGGTAAGCATAGAGCAAAGCTGTATGCTTTTGTATGGAACATGCAGCCTGCTAATCTACCACCAGCACAAGCACACCCCAGCTGCAGTGGTGTGCAATAAACATTGTGGATGCCAAGGTGTGGAAGCTGCAATAATCGTTGTGGAGGCATAGGTGGAGGCAGCCCTTATTCTAGAGTTGTTGAACCCCTAACGAGCCCTGCACTGCGCTGAAACTAGAAAACTGAAATGGAATCTGATGGCAGTGTTGTAACCGTCACTCTTCTTTGTTGCCCTTGAGGACTGGAAAAAGCAGAAATTCAGCAAATGATCTAGATGTTGTGTTCGTCTGCAAAATGGTGATTGTGCAGCTAGAATGCCTGGGGCTTCCAGCTGAGCTCTGCTGTACTCTCCCCAGGTGAAGTGAGTCCAAATGTTGGCTAAACAGAAAGCGTCAAGACTCTTCCAGAAATTGCAATTTCATGCTGGTTTATCGGTGCATTAGGCAGAGTCTTTCCCTGTGGCTTGATGTCTAGGACTCTTGCTATGAGAAGGCTTCTTTAAAACTTAATGTTACTTGAAGGTATTGTCTCATGAAAGATATTGCTTAATAATACAGCCAAGAGATGCAAGTAGTGCGTCATTACCGCCGCTGATGGTGTTCCTTTTGATTAAGTCCGGTTGCCAAATGGTTCCCTTCAGGATTTCCCTCCCCTGTACGAATGTGTCTTACCTACTTACTAGGCATGCTGAAAGAAGCAGAGAAGTTCTCTTCACCATAGTGACAAACATGGCTTGCGTTCATTTTTGTGATACTGGTTGCTGCGTTAGTGTCACTAATGTTGACCCTGTAGGTGTGTTTGGAATCAGGGAAGCAACTGATCCCAATTCAAACAAGGGAATTGGAGGAAGGTCTACTATCCAGTTCATGTCATTGGTTCCATGTATTTGGACCCACCAGTAGGCTTTACACCATGGCGGTGGTTGCATGGAGATGGGTTGTGCCTCCATTTAGGAAGGGGAACATTTATGACTCCATGTGCCAGGTCTTTATCAGGATCTGCCTTGCAGACTCACTTTGACGAGTGGGTAGGGCTGCCCACCTGTCAAAATGCCTTTCACTCTGATGGGAGTGGGAGAGGAGCCTTTGTGAGTTTCCCTCACCCTTCCCCTTCGAGTCTCTAGTCTCATGCTGATCTCGTTCTGCTGCCTCGGCTGTGCATTTCTTGCTGGGAACAAGATCATGCAACCAGTGCAGGATTAAACCCTGCCTGTCATCTGGTGTCACCAGTGATGTCAGCTGATGGGTGGATGGTCATAGGTTTGGGGAAGATGGCCTGGCAGTCCAAGATATGCTCATGGCCTGGATGTTCCCCATCCCTGACTTAGGGCCTATCCCAAGGGCAGCATTCCCTCATGGGCAACCCTAGCTAGCAATGGTTAGGACCAGAGAAGAAGAAGAAGGAGGATTTGGATTTGATATCCCGCTTTATCACTACCCAAAGGAGTCTCAAAGCGGCTAACATTCTCCTTTCCATTCCTCCCCCACAACAAACACTCTGTGAGGTGAGTGGGGCTAAGAGACTTCACAGAAGTGTGACTGGCCCAAGGTCACCCAGCAGCTGCATGTGGAGGAGTGGAGACGCGAACCCGGTTCCCCAGATTACGAGTCTACCGCTCTTAACCACTACACCACACTGGCTCTCAGAGACAAATTGGGCAGAGTGACACATGTGATCATTGCCTTTTGTAGAGTAAGCTGCATCCATTCAGAGGTTTCTGTGTACGCTTGCATGCTCACACAACTCACCCATACATGCACAGCCATTGTGATCAGGTGCAATGGTTGTGATGGTTCAGAGAGAAAGGAACAGCTATACACAACCGTTCTGGGATTCTGTGAAATAATGACTGACTGGTGACTGGCTTGCTTGTCTGTGTTTCGGCAGGTGTTTCTGTTCTTCAGAAGAGCATACGGCTGTACGCGCCTTTTTACTCCTCCGATATTATCATTGCATCTCCCCTTGGCCTGAGGACTGTTATTGGAGCTGAGGGAGAGAACAAGAGAGACTATGATTTCCTCTCGTCTATAGAAATTCTTATCATCGATGAGGCCGACATCTACCTCATGCAGAACTGGGAGCATGTTTTGGTAATGCATCTCCTTACCCTTTCTTACTCTTTTCCCTCGCGTATCATGCCTCACGAACAGGGTTGACAAGATAGGTAATGCAGTAAACAGCCAGTGGATTTTAACACTGAGAAAAGCGGGTGTTTAGTTTGAACTCATGGGATGGAGACATGTGTTCTGGGTTTCTTGAGTGCGGATGCATTCTTAAAATTTAGCGAAGCCAATTCTCCTTTTGGACTGCCTTCAACAGGCAAGGCTTCCCTCTAGAAGTAGCACATTGCTTAGAAATTCTCCTGGCAAGGCTTCCACAAGTAGCAATGGCCACCAACTTTAAAAATAGGATTACAGTGGTACCTCGGGTTACAGACGCTTCAGGTTACAGACTCCACTAACCCAGAAATAGTACCTTGGGTTAAGAACTTTGCTTCAGGATGAGAACAGAAATCGCGCAGCTAAAGTGGTGCTTCAGGTTAAGAACAGTTTCAGGTTAAGAACGGACCTCCAGAATGAATTAAGTTCTTAACCCGAGGTACCACTTATTCATATCTGTGGAGAATAAGGCTATTCTCTACTTCCACTGTCAAAGGCATTATGCCCTGAGTACCAGTTTCTGGGAATTTCAGATTGGTAGAGTTCCTCTGTACTGATGTCTATGAGAAGCCTGCCAGCAGGGCATCTGGTTGAGCACTGTGATAACAGGATGCTGGACTCAATGGGCCACTGGCCTGATCCAGCCGGCTCTTCTGTTGTCATGCTAGAAAATAGTGGGGAGTTCTCTCTAAGGGCAAATCAGTTGCAAAGTCGTGGAAACTATGAAAAGCAGTATAAATAGCTCCTGTGATCTCTTCTTGTACCATATTATTTCCTGCGGGCCAGTTGAGAACATTAGAACCAACTAAAAGATTTCGTTTTGTATGGTTTCTAACACTGGATGGTTCAAACAACACTTAGAGCAAGCCAGGTGTCGAATGACCCTCGTTTCACTAAACACATGCTGCAGTGATCGTTGACAGTCTCTTGGATGCTGCAGAACGATTTTCCAGAAATGAGCTTGAGAGGCAACAAAAGCCTCCTAGCAACAACAGCCAAAGAGCTGCTAGGAACATAAGGAAGCTGCCAAATACTGAGTCGGACCTTTGGTCTGTCTAGCTCAGTATTGTCTCGGCGCCAGGCGAGAATGTTTCTCTATACACCAGGCCTTTGGCTGATTAAACAATCTATGGCCTTTAAAATGTGCTCATGGGAGGGGGGGTTATTGATTTGTTTGTTTGTTTCGTTACCTATTTTGTGTTCTCATGTTGTATTTTTATGTTGTGAAGTGCCCTGTGGTCTTTGGATGAAGGGCAGTATACAAACAATTCTGTACTGGCCGGCAGTGGCTCTCCCAAGTTTTCAGACGGGTGACTTTCCTCTCCCTGGAGATGACAAGGATTGAACCTACGACCTTCTGTATTCAGACTGGTGCTCTACCAGTGAGCCAAATCCGCTGCTCAGTTTCATCCAGGAAAGGAGTTTAATAGTTCAGATTTCCATTCATGTGGCTCATTTTAGTATAATGCATGAACTTTTTAGGGTTCTCTTTCCTTGATTTTCCTCTTCCTGCAAACCGATCCAGATTGACGGACATCTTCCTTTTCTTTTTAAAATCTGCTCACAGCACCTGATGAACCACATTAACCTGTTGCCTTTGGAGTCTCATGGGGTGGATTTCTCGCGGGTGCGAATGTTCAGTCTGAACAACTGGTCCAAGTATTATCGGCAGACGCTGCTGTTCAGCGCCCTCCAGGATCCACAGATCAACTCCATCTTCAATAAGCACTGCTTCAATTACAGGGGGCAGGTTAGTGTGCACATGTATCTATAGCCCTTGTATAGAAGTGAAGAAGGCTTACTGGCCTTCCAACATGACCTTGCAGCAAAGGGCGATGGGAGGGTGTGTGCTTATGGACTTACAGATAATAAATCTTCCCATTCCTAATGTGTTTTAATGTCTCCAGCCAAGCTGACCTCAGATTATTGCTGCCTCCAGTTATTACATTTGTCTCCTGTTGCCAAGCTGATATTGAAGCTTGTTTGTTAAAATATCCCACCACCCCCATTGTCTCGTTAAAGATATAAACCTTGATAGGCATCGTCCTCAACAGTAATGTCCTCTTTCTATCTTCCTTGCATCAACACAAATCTTCTTTGTTCGTGTAAGATAAGGGTTGGCAACTAGTATCCCTGGGGCCAATCACAACCCTATCTCTCTTCCTCCCTTAAATGGTAATTTAGAGTTACAAAGAGAAAGCATAGCGTGCAGGAGACTTCCCTCTAAAAGGAAGTGTTTCTTTGGCACTGGATTCATAACAGGAAGAAGGAAGGGTCTCCTTTCCCCACAATACTTGATTTACTTGTCAAATTCACCACTCTCCTTGGCGAGTTGATGGCCACTAGTTTAGAGGGTTTTTAAAAAAAGGATTAAGCAGGTTCAGGAGGATAGACAAATGGCCTTATTACCGTATTTTTCCCTCTATAACACGCAGATTTTTTCTCCTAAAAAGGAAGGGGAAATGTCTGTGCGTGTTATTGGGTGAATGTGTGGTCCCTGGAGCCGACTGGCGCGAGTGGAGGCAAAAAAAAATCAGGCAAAAATCAAATCGCGCGTCTCGGAGAAGGGAAACCTGAAAAGAGGAAGCGGCTGCTTTCCTGCATTCTGCCTCAGGGTCTTACTGCCCACCCTCCTCTGTTTCCTTGCTGTGTTTGCTCAAACGGAACAAAGAGCAGGGAAAGCCCCTCCCCTCCAGGCAAGCAGAGGGGAAAGCAGAGCGTCCTTCATTCTACTTCCTCTCCGTGAAAACATGCAGGAGGGAGGGAGGGAGGGAGGGAGGGAGGGCGAGCGAGCTGGCTGGCTTGGGTGGGTGAGTGGGGGAAAACTTTTGCCTTCCTTTCCTCCCTCCCGTTATACCCCTCTCCTGCATTCTTAGCCAGCTGCTTCTCTGCACACCCTCTCGTGCTCCTTGTCCCTTCTGTGTTTTTCCTTCCCTCCCCACTTAAAATGTGGTTACAAAGCATGGATCCACATGGATCCTCAGGATCTTTGCATTGGGTCAGCCCAAATTCACCATGAGAGCACATAGCATGTCCATGGCTACAGCCTGCCCCCCAAAAATCACGCACCCACTGTTGCCTGGGGCTGCAATGGTGCAAAAACGTGGTTACAAAGCATGGATCCACATGGATCCTCAGGATCTTTGCATTGGGTCACCCCAAATTCACCATCAGATCACATAGCATGTCCATGGCTACAGCCTGCCCCCCAAAAATCACGCACCCACTGTTGCTTGGGGCTGCAATGGTGCAAAAACGTGGTTACAAAGCATGGATCCACAGGGATTCTCAGGATTTTTGCATTGGGTTACCCCAAATTCTCCATCAGATCACATGTCTGTGGCCACAGCATGAAGCACAAAAATGATACATCCACTGTTTCATTCAGAATGTTTTTTCCCTTGTTTTCCTCCTCTAAAAACGATGTGCGTGTTATGGTCAGGTGCGTGTTATAGAGCGAAAAATACGGTAAGTACTGCTAACCTTGACAGCTGAATGAAGAGTCCTTTTTCACAGGCAACTTACCAGTTGCTAAAGCTAAATAATGAAGGTAGCTATCATCGCCATGCCCTACTTGTTTCTAAGAGCACCCGGCTGTCCGTTGCTGTTGAGAACAGGATTCTAAAGTAGACAAGGGGGACGTACAATAAAATGTTGCAGTTCCAGTTCTATATTGGTTTTATTCTGCTTTAAGGGCAATGGCATCCTTCAGTGAATCCTGGGAATTGCAGTTTGTTTGTTTTTATTTTTTTAAGTTTTAAGTTTTTATTTTTTAAAAAAATTGTACACTCTTTACACCAGAGGATTTTACAACCAAAATAAACCGTAATACAAACAAGAACATGACTTTGCTTTTCATTCATGTTAATCTCCTTCATTTAACTCCTTGTTCTTAACCTCTTAAATCACATATATATCTTTAACAATTTTCCAAATGCTGTCCTATAGCTCCCTCCCCCCATTCCCATTACTTCCCTTCTCCCATGTGTGATCTTCTCAACCTAATATTGTTTCTCATCGTGTTAACAAAAGTTTGTATTTGTTGTTCCATATATGTCATGATATTGTCTTGTATCCTTGCGCATTTTACCTATCGCATGTTAAATTTTAGCTCCAAAACCAAATCTTTCCATGTATTTCTTTACACACTCCAACTCTTTGTAAATTTTTTTGTTTGGAACATGTTGCAGTTCCAGTTCAGTGCCCCCCTCCTTGATAGGATGATCCATTCTGTCCCCCCCCCTGTGTAGTTTCCCATTTTTCCACCCCAAGAGGCAGCCAGTGTTCTGGGTATGCGAAGCACACTCAGTCCTCATTAGGCTGTTTTGCATCTCTTAGTCCCCTGAGCAAGGAAAATATTGTTTATACATTTGCAAACCTTGGGCAGAGGGAGCGTTTGGGTTACATAAGCCAATGGCACTCATGCCTGAGTGCTGGTAATAGAGGGAATGAAGAACCGACTGTTCCAAGCCGGCAAGCCAACTCTTACCCTTTCCATGAGAGTTGATCTCAGATGTAACCTGTCTGGTCTAGCATTGCCTTCATTTGCCTATTGTGTTTGCTTCTTGCAGGTAGCGGTAAGGAACATACCTCTGAAGGGCTCTATCAGCCACGTTGTAGTACAGCTTCCTCATGTTTTTCGCAAGCTGGAAGCAGAAAATTCCATTTCTGCAATAGATGCCAGGTAATGTGGTCGTTTCAGCTGTGCTCTTCTGACATCAGGTTGAGATTTGGTGCTCAGTAGAGTGTAGCATTGTGGAAAGAGAGTGTGTGTGTGTGTGTGTGCAGGCAGTGGGCGGGGGAATAAAATTTAAAAATCCAAGGAAACCAACACAGCCTGCTGAATGGCAACATTATGCACACCAGAATCTTCTGCTAACCTCCTGCGGTGCTATAGAAACCTCAGTCCTATATACTAATAGCAAACTCCTTCTCCAAGCACTGATCTTTATGCAGGCAAAATGGCACCATCTGCAGACAAGGAGGAGGTGTCAGCAGGGAACCTCAAGCCTTGCCAAAGTGCAGTGAATCTTTAGCCAGGGGGCAGGCAGGGAAGCCTAGTGGGCAGACCCCAGAAACAGCACAATGAGGATTGGGCACACTCCGTAGGCAAAGATTGCTACCTACTAGGGCTGTGGGGAGATAATAATAATAATAATAATAATAATAATAATAATAATTATTATTATTATTATTATTATTATTATTATTATTATTATTATTATTTATACCCCACCCTCCCCAGCCAAGACCAGGCTCAGTGCGGCTAACACCAGATATAAAAAGAATGGATTAAAATACAACTTAAAAACAAGATAAAATACAACATTAAAATGCAGCCTCATTTCAGTAGAAACTCAAATCAAAAACTTTTTGGGGATGAAAACATCAAACCTTTACCAAGGCCAACTATCCAGACTGGTCCTACGTGGGCCAGAAAAAAGCCAGGGAAGTCCCCAAATAGGGGTTCCATCACAGAAGGAAAAGGAAAGAGGGGAAGGGGATCAGGCTGGTTCCAAGCCAAAGGCCAGGCGGAACAACTCTGTCTTACAGGCCCTGTGGAAAGAAATCAGATCCTGCAGGGCCCTGGTCTCATGAGACAGAGCGTTCCACCAGGCCGGAGCCAGTGTTGAGAAGGCCCTGGCTCTGGTTGAGGCTAATCTAACTTCCTTAGGGCCCGGGACCTCTAGGGTGTTGCTATTTATGGACCTTAAGGTCCTCCGCGGGGCATACCAGGAGAGAATAGAAAACCAGAGAATGGAACTCTGGAAGATGGCAACCCTGAACAACTCTGCACTGAAACACTCTGTTGCCGGTCCCAATTATTTTCCTTTGGCGTTAGACACTTGCCTTGTGGAGGACTCCTAAACGTTTCCTTATGGTTAAGTGCTCTGCATTGCAGCTGCAACATCCCTCCCCAGTCTGATGCCCTCCCAAGTGTTTTGGACTGCATCTCCCATCACTTGAGCGATGTAATCACTGCCATCGTGGAAATTCCCCCTGCTCCCACCAAAGCTCACCAAGAAAGATTGAGAGCCAGGTGCCCACTCGGTCTCCACAATATCGTGGGGTGTCCTTTGACCCCCTCACCATCTATCCACCTAACCAACCTCACAGGGGTGTTGCATAGATAAATGGGACAGGAGAAACCATATAGGTCACCCTGCGGTCCTTGAAGGAAAAGTGGGATATGAATAATAGTAAAAATGCGGAGACTCCACACAATGTTAGATGCAGTTAGTGGTCTGTCTGCAGTGTTTTTACTATGAAGACTCTAGTGATCTGTGTATAAATCATTTTTATATGCATTTACGATGTTTTTAATAAGATTTTTTATTGCTTTCGCTCGAAAATACGATCAAGAATAAGATGGCCTGTGGTGCATGTAAAAAATAGTCATAAAGACACATTTGTGCATATCAGTTAAGGGGGAGACCCTCCTTTTGTATTAAGCAGCATTAATAAAACCTCTCCCGAGTGAGAGAGGGGTGACATCTTTCCCTTATTCTGCTTATGTAGGAAATAAATTGGAACTCTGCTCCTTCAAAATGGTCCCTTTTGCAGTGTGTTGAGTAAGACGTGTATTTACAACGTAAAGAGAGTGTTTGTGTGTGATATATATTCTACATTTGCATTAAGTGAGATGCTGGGAAATTATTATTATTATTATTATTATTATTATTATTATTATTATTATTTTGGAGCAGAATAACGTGCTTATGTTTCCTTAACCAGGTTTCATTTTTTCATTGAGAAAGTGTTGCCTGAGTATCGCGATGCCGTCATGTCGCACACACTCATCTACGTCCCGTCGTATTTTGATTATGTGCGCCTTCGGAACTACTTCAAGAAGGAGGAGTTGAGTTTTGTGCACATCTGTGAATACACCAGTAAATCTGGCATTTCCAGAGCGAGGCAATTCTTCCTAAAGGGAGTGAAGCAATTTCTGATTTTCACGGAGCGTTTCCACTTTTATAAAAGGTAGGCTGGGGTGGTTGCTAAAGTCCAAGTCTTTAATAGAAGAGGGTGCATGAGGTCATACTTGCTCCCCCCCCCCAAATTAATAATGCTTCATAATTAGGCTAAAAATGTGGAATTTTTCACACAGCACTGGAAGATTTCTTAAATGTGTATTATTTTCATCACCTATGCAGCACCATCAATGTAGATGCTGCTCCACAGATCATAAATATAGGCTCAAAGACAGTACACTTCTGGTTTGATTTCTGAATGTGTTAATAACTGGTGTTTCTTGGGCTCATATTTCTCCCATAGAAAGGTAAAATGTGTCTTGAAAATCATTGCCAGCTGATCATTATGTGATGCTGTGTATACTTCCTTTTGAACCAAAGCTGTACGTATTTATTTAATAACAAGGAAGGGCCATAGCTCACTGGTAGAGAATGTGCTTTGAGTGCAAGTCTCAGGTTTAATCTGTGACTGCTCCAGATTTGGCTGGAAGAGACCTCTGTCTGAAATCCCCGAGATCTGCTGTTAGTCGGTGTAGACCAGGGGTAGTCAACCTTTTTATACCTACTGCCCACTAATGCATCTTTCTTGATGGTAAAATTTCCTTACCACCCACCAGCGCTCGATGGAAGGAAGATTCAGCTTGTGCTGTAGAACCCCCTACCACCCACCTAGAACCCTGAAACACCCACTAGTGGGCAGTAGGGACCAGGTTGGCAACCCCTTGTGTAGACAGGGCTGAGCAAGATGCACCAAAGGTCGGACTTGGTATGGGGAAGTTTCCCTTGTTCCAGAAGTCTGGATTAAGTGGTAAGAAGAAAGGTGGATAGAGATGATCCAGTTTGACAAGAGGAGAAGGGACCTAGGGGATGTTACTGTTGGGATACTGCCAGGGAGTCCATCATGGCCCCACGTCGCCTCCGGACGTCCATCGATCTCCCGTAGACACACAGTATCAGCAATTAGTGACACGAGCTCCAGAAATAGCTTGCCACATTCCAGAGCTGATGCACGCTCTTATCAGCAGATAATGCACAGCGAAAGATGCACGCAGGAGAGCATTAGTTAAGTTTATTCAGTGTTGGTCAGAACAAAGAAAAAACATGACCGCCTACTTCAGTGTTCAGGCACCGAGAGAGAGACAACAGCTCTATCAAAAACAGAAAACATCCTGTGAACAGGAAATACGCAGACTCTGTGACTCACAAAGCCTGCTCCCTTTTAAGGTGGAACGGAAATATCCTAACAGTTACTTTGCTGGTCCACTAGAGGAGTGATGTTTGAATAGGAATCCGCAGCCCTTCCTTATAAAAATGATGCCACCTTTGTGATCTTTGGGGCACCAACTGAAGCCCTTTTGATTCACCCAAACCTTTTAAATTTTGAAGGCTGGGCCTCTCAGCATTTATATCTGTATTTTAATGAGGGTGGGGGGTACAGTGAGGTTTGCTTTTGTTTGCATTTATGTAGATAACAGTTTGAGTGTTTTGCATTGCATTGCAGTGTTTTTTATTTATTCACTGAAAGTCGACCCTTTATGATATAGGGTGTCCAACAAATGCCAAACATACAAAAATAAGGTGGGGAGGGAGGAGGTTCATCAAATAGCTGCAGGAAGGTTTCAGGCATCCAGAGACCCTGTTTTTTGGTGGCTAGCAGTCTACAGAATCTATTCTACCTCTCTGCATTGTAACTTTTAATCCTGCTTCACTGCCGGGGGGGGGGGGCAGGTTCAGGAAGTCCCATTTCCCTTGTTGAAATCCCAAGTCTGTTAAATTAAAAAAGGGGCTGTGTTCTGTTTCATCTATAAATGGTTAAAGTTTCAAAAAGGGATTTCTGTGTTGCCTGGTTGCATATTAATCATTTTGTGCCCTCTTGTTTGTTTGCTTTATTCAGGTACTCAATTAGAGGCATCCGGAACCTTATTTTTTACGAACTGCCCACCTATCCCCATTTCTATAGTGAGGTCTGCAATATGATGAAGCTGGCAGGCAGTGAGGAAGAGGCCACCTTGACCTGTACAGTGCTTTACTCAAAATACGATGCTCAAAAGGTGGCTGCGGTGGTGGGTGTCGACCGGGCGGCCCAAATGCTCCAGTCTTCCAAAAATGTGCACCTTTTCGTCACTGGAGAAACAGAGTGAAATAAGTGGTGGACTGAGATTTAGAATGGACTCCGTGACCTGTTCAGCCTATTATTTGGGGCTTGTGCTTCTTCCAGAACAAATGTTAGAAAAAGAAAGGCCGTGTCCGCACCATGCATTTAAAATGTGATTATACCACATAAGCAGTTATGGCTCCCCCCACCCCAAAACAATCCTGGGAACTGTAGTTAAGGGTGCTGAGAGTCTCCCCCCACACACACATTTGCTTTTAACTGTTTTGAATACACTGTCTAATACAATACAGCTACAGTAGGGATCAGCAACTAGCAGACCCTGGCTCCAGTCCACCCCTCTAGCAAGCACCCTTGCTATAAACTATAAACATCAAACATGTGAGAGATGTCTTGTTAAAAAAAAAAAAATGTTCTATTTGTGTTTTGTCATTGCATTTATTAAAAAAAATTGCCAAACTTTTTAAAATCTTTGTATAGTGATTGTGTCCTTTAAATGTCAAAATAGGCCTGCAGAGCTGTGGTTCACTAGTCTCCGCCATTGCATTGCTGTCTATTTTAGTTTTAAGCTGATTAACTGTGTCTAATTCCTCTAGTGCAGGAGCTAAACACCAATAAAGAGGCAATTCCATTTCAATCCCTGAATTAGCCAGCATTGATATAGGAATGTTCCTTTAAAAAAGAGAGAGAGAGAGAGAGAGAGTGTTTATTTTTGCATTTTCAGGTTTACAAGCAACAACAAAGAAAATAATTAAAATATAATCAGTAAATCCCCTTTGAGTGCCTGGAGGCGGTTGGAGGATGGATGGCGGCTAACAGATTGAGGTTGAATCCTGATAAGACAGAAGTACTGTTTTTGGGGGACAGGGAGCGGGTTGGTGTGGGGGATTCCCTGGTCTTGAATGGGGTAACTGTGCCCCTGAAGGACCAGGTGCGCAGCCTGGGAGTCATTTTGGACTCACAGCTGTCCATGGAGGCGCAGGTTAACTCTGTGTCCAGGGCAGCTGTCTACTAGCTCCATCTGGTACGCAGGCTAAGACCCTACCTGCCCGCGAACTGTCTCGCCAGAGTGGTGCATACTCTAGTTATCTCACGCTTGGACTACTGCAACGCGCTCTACGTGGGGCTACCTTTGAAGGTGACCCGGAAACTGCAATTAATCCAGAATGCGGCAGCTAGACTGGTGACTGGGAGTGGCCGCCGGGACCACATAACACCGGTTCTGAGAGATCTGCATTGGCTCCCAGTACGTTTTCCGAGCACGATTCAAAGTGTTGGTGCTGACCTTTAAAGCCCTAAACGGCCTCGGTCCTGCATACCTGAAGGAGCATCTCAACCCCCATCGTTCAGCCCGGACACTGAGATCCAGCGCCGAGGGCCTTCTGGCGGTTCCCTCATTGCGAGAAGTGAGGCTACAGGGAACCAGACAGAGGGCCTTCTTGGTAGTGGCGCCCGCCCTGTGGCACGCCCTCCCATCAGATGTCAAAGAGATAAATAATTACCTGACATTCAGAAGACATCTTAAGGCAGCCCTGTTCAGGGAAGTTTTTAATATGTAATGCTGTACTGTTTTTAACACTGATTGGGAGCCGCCCAGAGTGGCTGGGGAAACTCAGCCAGATGGGCGGGGTATAAATAAATAAATTATTATTATTATTATTATTATTACTATTATTATTATTATTATTATTATTATTATTATTATGACTTCCCTCCTCCCCTTTTGTGGATCCTTATGCCAACATTTTTTTCCTGCTTCTCTTCTATTACTCCAATTTTATCAAATCTTTAAACAGACCATAATTCAACTTTCAACTACAAGTATTTATTCTTCCTGGTTCCTAATTCTTCTGGTCAGTTTTGCCATTTCAGCGTAGTCCATCAGTTTTATCTGCCATTCTTCCTTGGTAGGGGCTGTATTTTCTTTCCCATCTCTGACCTAACAAAGTCTGGGCAGCTGTAGTCACATACATAAATAGTCTCTTCTGGTCATTTGGAATCTCTGCACCTAAGACTCCTAAAAGAAAAGCTTCTGGTTTCTTAGAAAAGGTTATCTTGTTCCTGTTTTTGTACTGAGGAATGTTCCTGTTTTTGTACTGAGAGACTAACTTACTTTATTTCTAAATTCTACATGCTTCTCAGGCTGACTCATGGTTAGAGACAGAAAAGCAAGCTGCTAAATTAAGATTAAACGTCTCCTGTCCCTCTCTTCAGGATGTATTTATTAGAGATGAGTGTCTGAGCAACCTAAAGCAGGATAACAAAGTTAGGGAGCAATGGAAAGATAAAGCATGTTGCTTTGTAGTTTCTTGGCAACAACAGGGATGTCATTGAAGTCACCCTGTTCACGAAAGCTGATTTTCATTTTTTTTTTTAAAAAAAGATCATAACTTTTGGTTTTAAAATGAAAACGTGAGAAATGGTAGCTACATTGCTAAGTGATGGGCCCAGGTCAGAGGAGTGGGCGGCCTTTGAGCTGGGTTCTGTGATACTGTTTGACTGACATCTTGTGTGAGCAAAGAAGGAGAAGAGTTTGGATTTGATATCCCGCCTTTCACTCCCTTTAAGGAGTCTCAAAGCAGCTAACATTCTGCTTTCCTTTCCTCCCCCACAACAAACACCCTGTGAGGTGAGTGGGGCTGAGAGACTTCAAAGAAGTGTGACTGGCCCAAGGTCACCCAGCAGCTGCATGTGGAGGAGCGGAGACGTGAACCCGGTTCCCCAGATTACGAGACTACCGCTCTTAACCACTACACCACAGTGGCTCTCATTTGCCTTGCTCACACACTGTGTCATTTGTATTGTGCTGGGAACCAGCGCTGCTTAGGTCTGGATCCCCACCACACAAAATACATTACTGTCGGCTGTAAATTGGTGGCGCCCCAAACAGGTCTCAGATACCATTTTATAGTTGCAGAGGAGTAGAACTGGCCTAGAGTCATTTTACTCTCAGAGAGATTCCTGCATATAAAATGTCAAAAGGCTAATCCCTCTTCCCTGTATCTTCTCATCCCACTGTTCTGCTTGAGCTGGAATGGGACTGCCCCTTTGACTTAGCTGATTTGACCTTACTCTGTTTCCTGAGAGCCTATTAAGCTAAGTAATACCATATTAACTGTCTCCTCTTAGAGCGCTGATGATGCCCTGTGTAAAAAAGCTTTCAGCATTAAGGGCTGTGTGCTAATTTTCTTGGTTGTTGAAAGCCAGATAAATTGTGGTCCAAAACACTTAATGGGAAACCACCAAGAAATTATCCCTCATCCCTGGAATGAGAGCACACATTATTGGAATTAAATGTTTGTGAAGCATTAAGCAATGACAATGTAAGACAGCCATTCAGAGGAAGGAGCGTGATTTGTGCCAGCATTGGGGAACCTGTGACTCTCCAGGTATTGCTGGACCACAGCTGTCATCAGCCCTAGCCAGGATAGCTGGTGATCAGGGATGATGGGAGATGAAGTCCCGCTACATCAGGAGGGCCACAGGTTCCCCATCCCTGGGCTATATTAATGCTCCTTTCTCTGAATAGTCAACTCTGCAGCAAAGGAGACAAATTAGAGAGTGTCTGCCCAGATGGCACCCAAGGGAATATATATGGCATTAAGATCTGAGCAAGTGGGATATTCCTCAGGTGTGTGGTAGGTGAAATGCTTCTCAGATAATACAACAAATTGAAATGGTAAAAAAACAAGTATTTCAGGTTCCCAGGGTGACTGAATAGTCATTTACACCCAAATTGCCCATGAGAACACTTACGCTGCCATACTGTCTATTTCCAGGGGCTATCCAGTATCTCTCATCCATTGGGAAGTTCTCCACTGTGGCAGTTATTCAGGAACCTCATCTCATTTCCCACCCTCAAGAAGTTTGGGGTCTGTTAGGCTTGAAAACAGTTAGGCACTACAGTGGTACCTCGGGTTAAGTACTTAATTTGTTTCAAAGGTCCGTTCTTAACCTGAAACTGTTCTTAACCTGAAGCACCACTTTAGCTAATAGGGCCTCCAGCTGCCGCTGCACTGCCGAAGCACGATTTCTGTTCTCATCCTGAAGCAAAGTTCTTAACCTGAAGCACTATTTCTGGGTTAGCAGAGTCTGTAACCTGAAGCATATGTAACCTGAAGCGTATGTAACCCGAGGTACCACTGTACAAGTACAGTTTGGAAAGGCTGGTGTCATCACTTCTTTTTTGTGCACACAGTCTTGGTAGATCAGGCATGGGGGGCCTCAGGGCCGGGGGCCATTCCTTTTGGCCCTGGACTGGCACACTTCTTGTGACACACACACACCTCCCCATGGTAATGTCTCTTGTTTGCCTGGGTAAGTAGCAGACATATCTGTCCATTTCAGTTCTCCAACTTTCTGTTTTATTTTTTTAATCTTAATTTCACTTCTCAACATTTCCAGAATTTGTGGTTATTATTTTTGTGATCCCCATGAAAATCCACCAGCCTTTAGCGCACATTTTACTAATAAAAACTTTTTTGTGTACAGTTTTGACTAATAGCATTTTGGCAAGCAGTTTTTTCTAATGTCCATTTTTGTAAGATAGTTTCACAAATATATGCACTTTCATGTGCACTTTACCCTGGAATATAGAGGGATGTGGGTGGCGCTGTGGTTAAACCACAGAGCCTAGGACTTGCCAATCAGAAGGTTGGCGGTTCGAATCCCTGTGACGGGGTGAGCTCCCGTTGCTCGGTCCCTGCTCCTGCCAACCTAGCAGTTCGAAAGCATGTCAAAGTGCAAGTAGATAAATAGGTACCGCTCCGGCGGGAAGGTAAACAGTGTTTCAGTGCGCTGCTCTGGTTCGCCAGAAGCGGCTTTAGTCATGCTGGCCACATGACCTGGAAGCTGTACGCTGGCTCCTTCGGCCAGTAAGTGAGATGAGCGCTGCAACCCAGAGTAGGCCACAACTGGACCTAATGGTCAGGGCTCCCTTTACCTTTACCTTTACCCTGGTATATATATTATGTGGCTGAAGAAATGCATTGCAAAATTTGAAGAAGTATGAATTTGAAAGGGTGGCATGGCATATTGTTTCAGAAAGAGTGGCTTTGGCTCATCTTTAAAAGTGAACTGAATCAACTTTCTCCCCCACGCTTGTCTCTGTCTGTCTGTCTGTCTGTCTGTCTGCCTGCCTGCCTGCCTGTTTGCCTGCCTGTCTGTCTAGAAACCTGACTTTATTGCATGGCTAGAATATAATCTTAAGAGTCACATCCATTGCAGCTCCCATAGGGCTGCCCACAAGGGAATGTGGCACTTAGTCTTTAAAAAAAAAATCTCACCCCTGTGGTAGATAATATTTCTGTGATGCCCTGGTGATCATACATATAGATATAGGTGTGTGTTTGTTTAAA